AAATACCAGTGAATGGCTTTAGTTCAAATTTAACATGCTGATGCCAAGGGACATTGAAGCTCTGCTCGAGAAAGGATTTTCAAGATGGCAGTTAATTTTCAAAATGACTGCCATTTTTCGTAAAAGAATATAATCTTTGAAAACTCAAATACCAGTTGATGGATGTGGTTCAAATTCTATATGCTGATGCCTAGAAACAAAGAAGTTCTGCTCAAGAAAAGACATTTTCAAGATGTATAATGGCCACTGAATTTAAAAATGACCACCATTTTTATTAAAAAATGTAATCATAACTCAAACACCAGTGGATGGATTTGGTTCCAATTTTAGGTGCTGATGTCTAGGGACAAAGGAGATCTGCATCAGAAGAAATTTCAAATGTGTCAGCTGAATTTCAAAATGGCTGCTATTTTTCATAAAAAGGGTAATCTTTGATAACTCAAATACCAGTTGACGGATTTAGTTAAAATTTTATATACTGATGCTGATATTATAGACATAGGAGCTCTGCTGAAGAAAAATTTTAAAGATGACAGCTGAATTTTAAAATGGCAACCATGTTTCATAAAAATCATAAATTTTGATAACTCGAATACCAGTGGATTGATTTGGCTCAAATTTTATATGGCCACTATTTATCAAAACATGTTTTGTTCGGTGGGATTTGCTACTCCGTGGAGTTGCTGTTTTTCTTGTGAAATCCAACCACAGAACTGCCATTTGAGAAGAAATTTTAGAATAAATGACAAACTTTTAACTGAGAAATGTTTAAAACTGGTCAAAATAACATACAATCATGTATTACTTTTCAAAACAGGAAACAAAAGCAATAAATTTCAGAGAAATTTTGGGTTCAAAATGTTAAATCCTGAAAAGAAAACTTCACAGTGCAATAATAAATAAACTTGATGATAGTCATATAGATCAACTTATTAAACAATATAATCAAACTAAACAGAGGGGAAAACATAAAAGAAAGAAGCAGGTATGTTAGAAAGCTTGGTAGAAAATAGATCAAAATATCAACTGATTTCTGGAAACTCATTAATGCATTGCCAAGAGGTGTGATGGAAGATATACCAGTTGCCGCTGAGAAGTTATTAACTTTTTCAAAATGTGGCAAAGCCACCAAACATAGATTTATTTTTTGATGAAAAACTATATCCAAGAGTACATTCAAACTAATTCTAATGACCCTAATTCAAATCTCTGTCATGATATCATAGATGACAGAAGAATTAGTCAAATCGAGGTTTATAATGCTTTAAAAAGAGTAAAGTCTAATAAGCTGACATTGATGGCATCCCATCGAACATAATCTGGAATTGAGAGGTTCTTCTTCCTGACTTTTTAATGCAATATTTGACAGTAGAACATATCCATATGACTGGAGCATTGTTAATCTGAGTCTTCTCTTTAAACAAGGCAAATATTGCATACAAAAGCCCATGTAAATTATGTAGTCTACCATAGTTCTGACTAATGTAATCATGTTATGATACAATATGTCAATAAAAGTTATAAATACATTCCCCTCTTGGATACATTGATCTGTGTTTGACTTCACAGGTAGTATTTCGTAAAAGGATTTAACAGCAATATCATTCTAATGATTTATGAAATTTATTTATTTATGTTGTTTCTATTGTTTAACCATTGGTTATCATCAACTACTTACTGAGGCATTGATAGTATTTTTTAATTTTTATTGTGTACAAAATGCTGACATTGGACAGTTATGTAACATTTTTCTGACCTCACAATGACTGATAAACAAAATAAACATAATGATAGCCAGGTAATGTAGTGCCATAAATTATGAGATGAACCTTGTTAGTTTCACTTTTTATGTCCCCATCACTACAGTGGACTTTATTCCTATTTGCTCACAATTACTTAATCCATTTTTGCTAACATGAAAATATAAAAAATAAAAATATGAAAAAATATGTATGTAACATTTTATTGAGAACATTTTATTGAGTGTTTGCATATAGGCCAAGGCCATCTCAAAGATAAACTACTCTCCAAAGCAACTATGGCAGACAAACTAAAAGTGAGACAAAATAGAAGGGCAAATAAACTTTAAAAAGTTTAAAAGTACTTTTAATAAAAAAAAAACACATCATCATTGCATTGATAGTTGTTTTTCAAACTTCACAAAAGAGGGTGTGTTTTGTAATCTATCAATAGGGTTAGTTACATGTTACTATGATGTTAATTTGCTTTAAATGCTTTTAAATAAGCAGTAGATTCTTGTAATTCTTTTGATGCTTTAGACTCACTGTCATACATTGGCATTCAATTTAAATTTGAACTACCCCAGACAGCCTGACAGCTCATATTCAACACAAAAATCCTTAATAGAAAAAAGTAATAAGATATCATAATGTTTACCTATACCTTGTAATATATTCAATAATCTATAGAAACAACCAGCTTCAAATTTTAGGCAAAATAATTATATAGTCATATCTTGTAATTTCCTTAATTACAGCATTTTCCATTAAAACTGTATTTTCCTCAAAGGTAAATATTAATCAGACGCACAGATAATTCATGGATTAGGACCGTTTCTCTCCAGTTTCCCAAAATTAATTTAACCAAGGTGATGAGTTTCTATATGCTCCGAGTTCCCTCGTGAGTTTATCAAAAAAAACAATTTTCTACCTTATGTTACGTTATGTAAATAACTTTTTGAAAGGGAAAAGGTACTGAAATGCAAATTTGGGCACTAAAATTTGATATCTTCCAAATTAGAGTTTCATCACAATTCTGTCACCCTAGTAATACAATGTATAATGCAAAAAGATTGAAAAAGATAATTAATCCTTGAATTGGATTATTGTACAGTTTGGTAAATATCTTTTGTATCTAATTAAATTGCCTCGGAAGACAACATGAAACATTATGTTGAAATGTGATGGATGTCTTGGCATTTTGACAAATTATTCTTCATTTCTTAAGTCAAAAGTATTTTTCAAGATGTGGTCACAAAAAAAGATGACTCCATAGCGCAGGCCATCGATGGTGTCAGCTACAAGTAGCAATTACTTTATTTTTGTTAGGCAGCTGCAGTCACTGTATGCGCAAGTACGCTTAGTAGAGGCCTAATCAATATACCTACAAACTAGGTTAAAACAACTTTAAACATAAAAAAAATCTGACATAAAAAAATCTGGCACAATCGTAGTCAATGGAAATGTCAGAATCACAATGTCAGTTAGCTCTTTATAGTAAAATCAAATCAATATAAATGGTTCATTTAAATGAATTACAAAAGCACAATAAGGATTTTTTTCATATGTATCTGAGTTTAGAAATTTGATCGGAGTGACACTTTCATACATCACCTTCGCCATGTAACATTTCATGTTTGGCATTTTCATATTTTTTATATAAACTAAATGTTTATATGACCTAACCTAGGGCCTCAATAAAAGTCAATTTTGAGAGATCTAGTACTCTTCCTTCATGTTACTTATACCCAATAAAACCATATATTAAGAAAAATCAAGAAAAATCTAGAGTTTTATATGGATTTGAAAATGAAAAGTTGATACCACAAAAGGTCCATGTGCAGTATGGCAAGTGATTTTAGAAAGTCATATCTTTTTCCATGAATACTTTCTGGGCACAAATACAGTGGTTTTTATTAAATCAATGTTTTCTTTCAAGTGAAGTACCCATGATGATAAAAATATCAATCAAACTATTTGAAATTTTTTTCAAAATGTTTAACCTATTTAGTCAAAAGAGGATCTTCTTTTCCTGGTTTTTATTGCATGAAAAGATTATTGATCAAGGGGTCTAAAGCTTCTTCAAAAGTTGAATGGTATTGAAAGGTTGGTTTTGAAGATATCAATTTTAGATGACCAAAGTTATGCTGAAAACAAAACTTGAGTTTTCCCTATGGGAAAATAACATGAGATATGTGGTTTTTAACTTTAACGCATTTCAATACGCATCCCTTTTCAGAAAATGTTAATATAGTGAAGAAGAAACTTCCGATTTGTTTAAATTGAGAAAAACAAGATCCTCTTTTTTGAAAATGATCCTAACATTTTCAAAAAAGTGCCAAGGTAGGGTCCTAATTCAATAATTTTTCAGAGAGTTGGATTGGTTTTTTACTATCATGGGGACTTCACTTTAAAGAAAACATATTGTTTTCAAAAAACAGCTGTATTGATGGCCAGAAAGTACCCATGGTGAAAGATATGACTGTCTAAAATAATTTGCCATACTGCACATGGACCTTTATATGTCCTTAAGCTGAACACTTAAACCTGCACATCGCTCCAAAACGCAATATGTTGACATTTATTGTTTTTACATTTTCAAACTCTAATATAAAGTTTATGTAAATAAAAATTGTTTTTTCTGCGTAATATCAAAGAACAATCATTTAGTTAAAAAAATAAAAAGGCGTATGCGGGATTCGAACCCGGGCCTCCCGCGTGCTCGGCGAGGATTCTACCGCTACACCACCATATTATTATGAATGGTGGAAGTAGTGGAAGAGACATCTATTGCCAATAAACAGCTACTTTAATACATAAGTAGGCTAGTCTGCTCAATCTGCCATCTTTAAATGAACATCTCTTCTATTGCCTGTATCCTTGTCATTATGCTCATGCTGCTTCCTGGTTTCTGAAATAAGTTTTTCTGTTGTTCCTGTGTTGCTGTTCAAAGTCTTCATCGCCCCTATAATTCATAACTTTGAACATGCCTTAACATATTTGTTGTTTTTTTTCTTTTTCTTGTTATGTCTTTGAAAAGCATTCAAAGTGTATAATGTATATAAGCGTCAGCTGTGTACTATTTTGAAGAACATGCAATATTCTGTGCAAAATGCCCACAAAAGAGTTCTTCAAAACTATAACATAGGGTGAACATTTACAGTTATTGGATGCAAGGTGGTACAAGAATTTTCACTTGCTCTATATCTGACAGTTTCTCAAACTGTTTCAAATGTTTTGATTTTCTATTCTGTTTTGAAGGGTGTGAGTGGAGCTAGTGCCTCTAAGAGTGGCTATGAACTGGAGCAGGAGAAACAGCTCCCTGGAGTGCAGATGGCAGCCATGGGAGGGCATGTCTTTGACACACTCTACCAGTTGGCCGACCAGGATGAGTCCAGGTAAATTCTATTTGATGGATATTTTCATTTGCTTCTCCCAGTTTCCAGTTTCTGTAATGCAAGAATAGAATAACCCAAATGCCAGTAGGTAGTTACCAGTCTCACCATCAAGTGGCTAATTTGGGTCAAAGAAAATAAATAGTATCTGTTCAATACAAGAAAAAAATTCAATTTTTGAAATTTTTGTATCTTTTCTATATCTTGCAGAATTCCTTAATTTCAACCACAGAATCAATTCATCATTTCAATGGAAAGTCAGAGGAATGTATGTTTGATAATCATTACAAGATCCCAAAACTGGTGACAATGTTTTATCTGCCTGTTGCAGGATTACAAGTAGAGTACGTGAACTGCTGCAGTTGATTCCCACAGACCCCTCTGTCCAAGATGCTCTGGACTCCATTGGACCAAGTGTAAGTACAATACCACCGTATGAATCACAACTCAACATACCTGATATCTATGATGTGACCAACATTGTATCAGCTGAAGAGACTACTAGTTTCACTCTGATGCAATTGAGTGCTTTCAATCACAGAGACAATTTGGGTCATCCAATTTTCCATCATTTGTTAACATGGTAACTGGTCCACAATTCAGACATAACGATGACTTTTTGTTTTACTGTTATGTTCAGGTATGTTTGGATTTAAATTAAAGATCATTATTACCACCTTACCAGGCCTGAACCGAGGGCCGAAGGCCTAATAACGTCATTTCTGTGGTCCAAGGCCCTCGGTCCAATTTTTCACTATATTGCCTTCGGCCCTCGGACCAATGTTCCACTATATTGCCCCTCAAACTGATGTTATTGTACTAATAATCTTCCAATAATTACTAGCATAATCATCTGACTTCTAATATGTATTATATCCTATGTAGTACCTGAGGCAGCCATCCCCGTCACCAGAAGCTGCGAGTCCTAAGCAGAGTCCACGGGCAAGCCCCAGAAAATATACGTTCCCGTCACCACAACTAAGCCCCAAGATTTCTCCCCGGGAAATCATCCAGTCTCTGTTTGATGCTTCCTCCACAGACATGTCAACATTCAGAGTCCTCTATAACCTCCAGGTGAGATTTTACTTCAAATTGCAAGAAAGGCTGCAAAGAATGAGAAATATTTAATAATTCAACATTGCTTTACAATGTCTCAACCACAAATGGTGACATATTGTTATACTTTTTTGTGGATGGTGTTATGTGTTTGGTTGTTGGCATTTGGTGCTCTGCATCTGTAACAACTGGTAGTATAGGGGTGACATTTTTCATGTTAAATGCCTTGTTTTTATCTAGCGGTTAATCCTTGGGTAAAGATTCGATGAATATATTGGAATTGTCGCACTTGCAGGTCTTGAGTAGTAAACTGATGCCGGTAACAAATGACATAGCAACCATACAAAGTGCCAAAAATTTTTACGATGACTTCCTCAATGCTGGGGGTCTCAACCTAGTCATTAACGTCCTCCAGAGGGACGCGATGCCATCTGATGTAGGGTACGAAACACGACAGGGATGTTATGCAATATCATTGCAACTTGCGAGGTATGCTGATATTTTCTTTAAATGTAGTCTGCAATAATTTCTTTTCTATCAAATTCAAATCCACTTTTGATAAAAAAAAATTTCATTTCAAACCAAGTCAGTTTACAAAAACTGTTTCTGAATAAAAGATAGCAAAAGTATTGCTGGTAGGAAAGAGAAAAAAAGCAAGATGACTTAAAAATTGTCGCTTAGTATGATATTATCGCCCAACTCTATTCCTGAACATCACACCTTGATCCCCGACTGAGCGTCATATATGTATTTGTGTGAAATGTTTTGTTACAGATATCTCTTGTGTGGTCAAACAATTACTGGAGAGGAGCCCAGTTCTTTTACAAGACAACCAAGCATGAAATCGATAAAATCTACCCGTTCTGTGCGCTCTACACGATCTACAAGGTCAAAGAGTGCAAGTATCTCTAGTACATCTAGTCTCACTATAGATGTCACTCCCAGTGCTGCAAGCAAAGCAATACAGGTACATGTAAGTGCATGTGAATTTGTGAAATAATGTGATTTGTTCTTAAGACAAGAATTAATGTACGTGTATGTGAAAAAATGCATTTTTAAGCATGAAAATAGTCATTTTTGTGTTCTCAAAAATTAAGTGTGAAAATATGGGATTTTATACAAAGATGTCCCACTTTTGCTCTGTGCATTTACATGAATAATGTTTAGATGTACAATTCAATATAATATATGGTATAAACTTCATTTCATATTTGAATGAAATCTTTTCTTTCAGACTATGGGTGTACAAGATTTTACGGAAACTGTAGCATGCCTTATGCGGGTCACATGGGCAGCTGCGGCTGGGAGGTTACATCTTGTCAGTTCAGCACAGCCAATCAGAGAGAGTATGTCAAGCATGACTGGACGTAGAAGCAGACAAAGTAGTACCAGTAAGTAAAGTAGTACCAGCAAATAAAATGTACCAGTTCTTGGTGTCTATTACCAGTAAGGATAGTAGTATTTAGTACCAATTAGTAGTACTTAATACCAAAAGTTGAAGTAAAACCAAGAGAAAAAATAGAACCAGACATGCAAGGCAGTAATTGAAACCAGCAAATAATGGTTATATAAACAGTTTTTTATTTTTGAACTTCCAGTCACATAAATTGTGGCCTTTAAATGTGTAAATGGAGTCAGCATTATTATGTCACCACAAGAAGTGGTGGTGGTCTTAAACTTTTCTGTGGACGACATCCGGCGGTTGATGTTCAGCAGTTGGTGTTCAGCATTCGGCACCTTTAACAAAATGTAACAAATGGCAGGTGGTATATTAATGCCTTATACCATATACTTTAGGTAGCAACACAAGTACTGGCAGCAGTGAGAGTGAGAACCAGACTTTACATGCTGGTGTATGTGTGAAACAAAAGGATATATCTCCCAAAGATTCCAATATAGCAAAGGAAGCTTTAGAACTCCTAGTTGCATGTCTACAGATGAGGCACCAACTCTTAGGTAAGCAGAGCCTACATATCACTATTTGCATCTAATTAATGCCTCAGTCACATTTGATCTTTGGCAAATGCATGGTGCCTGTAGCTTCTCAAAAATGAGAGAAATATGCAGCATAAAATATAGGGATAAGGAGTATAATTCAGATTTTCTATATCAATTTTGGGAAGCTACAGCTGCCATAAAGCAAATGTGACTGAGGCTTAACTGTAGGTGCATCTTATCATGGGAGAGTGCCATTATCAAAATGTGTATACTACAGTACATCTATATAAATAACATAAGAACAAAAATTTTCCTTACACATTAGTCTAAGTGTCACCTTAATGAACAAATCAATACAAGATCAGCTTATTCTGAGATTCTTCCATATATTAATATTTAAGCTGTAAATGTTTTATTTCAGCATCATTCTATGCACTACCATGTGTGAGTGACTTCATCATAGACATCCTGGTTGGAGCTACCCCCAGGGAGATCAGGGACGCAGCCCTAGAGCAGTTGTGGGTGCTGGCCTGCTCTGAGATGTCCCCCATTGAGGGGGGTCACCAACAGTCTCCCCACCAGTTTATCCTTGGGGTATTGCTTAAAGCACGACTCCCACTGTGGGTCACATCATGTAACACTAGAGGTGCTAGTCAAAAGTGAGTCTCAAGATTAAATGTAGAAAATATTGGTCAATTTGAATGACCACATTTTGATAATTAAATAGCTAGATAATCTGGTTCTTGTTAGGAACAAAGAGGACATTCATATTAAAGGAGAATCTTACAATTCATTTGGTGATAAGATAGTGGGATTGTTGGGAGAGAATTAAATCCACAAAAAAACATGTCTACATTTTACATTATCGATTTAAAAATATTTTTTGTTTTTTGAACTTATAAATTAGAGACGGCTTGCTGAATAAAGCAAATTGTTACCTGCCTAAAAGCCCATGTTACATTATCCAGTAACAATACCCTGAAAATATTTTTGATTCCAGAATGCTTAGTCAGTGCTCCCAGTACTTTGATCTCAGATGTAAGCTATTAGATCATCTAACAGGTGAGTCAAGTTATATGCAATGTTTTGTTGTAATCTATTAACTCCAAAATTGAAACAAAAACTGCATTTAGCACTGATGGTGATTATATGATATACTATTTCTTTTTTCAATAGCGGACCAGCAAAAGAGACTTCAGATCAATGCCAAGTCTATGTTAGATGATGAACTTGATTGGTTGGATAACTTCGTGCCTAGTGAGCATGCCCAGCTGAGAGAGACTGACAATATGTTGCTTGCTGGACATATACAGCTCATCAAAACACTGTTCACCTGTGAAGGCGTGGACAAAAAGTCAAATGGTAAGTCTGAGGCGGAATCAGACAGAAGCCTGTTTCTTTATAGACCAATCAGATCACAGGAAATCAATTTTTGATGGTTGACGAGTCCTCTTCATCCATGGTAAAATCGTAGATTGACAAAATTGTCAAGTTTCGAAAAATTGTAAAATGTAGAAGAGAATTAAATCTGTGAATCGTAATTGATGATGTTTTTGAGAAATGGGCCCCAGAATTATACCCTTTTTCAGTCCATGCTCTTTCAAAGCAGAATGCATGTGTGTTTAATTGAATTTTATTACCTGTTAAGAAATCTGTTTGTGCCTCAAGTAGTGCACATGCTATATATTAGGATTATGTTATGTACATTTTTGTTTTAGGTCCAAACCTTATAAATAACATACTAGGGTCATTCTTATTCCCTGCTGCCAAAGCTATCCTCACTGATGTAGAACAGGCCAACGCACAGAATGTCAATGGACACTTCATACCAAAGTAAGTAAAGTGAATGTAGTGCATTTCAAAGTGAATTCATTGGATTACAAAGTGAATTACATTACTAAGTACATTACATTACTAATACATTATTAGTGAATGTAGTGCATTTCAAAGTGAAATCATTGGATTGCAAAGTGAATTACATTACTAAGTACATTACATTACTAATACATTATTAGTGAATGTAGTGCATTTCAAAGTGAAATCATTGGATTGCAAAGTGAATTACATTACTAAGTACATTACATTACTAATACATTATAAGTGAATGTAGTGCATTTCAAAGTGAAATCATTGGATTGCAAAGTGAATTACATTACTAAGTACATTACATTACTAATACATTATTAGTGAATGTAGTGCATTTCAAAGTGAAATCATTGGATTGCAAAGTGAATTACATTACTAAGTACATTACATTACTAATACATTATAAGTGAATGTAGTGCATTTCAAAGTGAAATCATTGGATTGCAAAGTGAATTACATTACTAAGTACATTACATTACTAATACATTATAAGTGAATGTAGTGCATTTCAAAGTGAAATCATTGGATTGCAAAGTGAATTACATTACTAAGTACATTACATTACTAATACATTATAAGTGAATGTAGTGCATTTCAAAGTGAAATCATTGGATTGCAAAGTGAATTACATTACTAAGTAAATGTAGCTCCAACATGAATTCATTTGGATTGATTTAGTGGAGAATTTAATACAATTTATACATTATTAGTGAATGTAGTCATTTTAAAGCGAAATCATTGGATTGCAAAGTGAAATTTAGTGCAATTTAGAACATTTTAAAGTGAATTTATTGAATTGCAAAGTGAATTTTTTGGCAATTAAGTACATTATTCAGTGAACATTGTGCATTACTAAGCTCATATATCTGCATTTCTATTATTTCAGATGTTCAGATGAGCAGTCTAAGAAGGCAGCATATCAACTCCTTATTGAACTAGCAGACCAATGCAGCAGCAATCTTGATGTGATATGCCATCTACTTCTGGACATGCATCACCAGTTTGAGCCTGAGACAGCACACAACTGGGAGTATGAGCCACCTGTAGATGGCCGCCCAGACAGAGGCTTTGTTGGGCTGAAGAATGCGGGTGCGACGTGTTATATGAATAGTGTGCTGCAGCAGCTGTATATGCAGCCAGGAATACATGAGGCCATACTTACCAGTGAGGATGGTGACACTGAGGATGAGGATACGTGAGTGATACTTAGTTCATGTACTTAATGTATACTCCTTTTACAACATATCCCATATTATTTCAATTCATAATGATCTTTATCTTGCATCATCAATATATATCAAAGCAAACTTTTTCATGAAATAACAAAAAATGCTCACCTAGTCAAAAGTATGAAATGTTCAAAATTCACGCAAAGCAAGCAATTTTGTGCTCTGATAAGTGCAGAAAAAAAGATTAAAATCAAGTCTAAAATAAACAGTTTGCAATATATTGAGGATGAGAATTACAGAGAAATGTAAAACACATTTTACAGATTTTTTATAGGATGTTAATTCCCAAAAAACGAAGATATTTTTACATGGTTCTGCAACAGTTTGTATTTGGAATAATTGTTTGTGTTGCAGCGTGTTCTACCAGATCCAACAAATGTTTGGACACCTCATGGACAGTAAACTTCAGTACCACGAGCCTGAAAAATTCTGGAAGTTGTTCAAACTGTGGGGCCAAGTTGTGAATGTACGGGAGCAGCAAGATGCCTTTGATTTCTATACAGCTCTCACTGACCAATTAGATGAACATTTGAAGGTAGGTTATTACATGATTTGAACAAGGGGTGTTCAGGCTGCCATCGAGGTGGGCACCCGCATGTATTGACCCACCCCTAATTTGAACAGTTACGACAATGTTTACGTTGATTCAGCTTTTACTACTCTGTCTTTCCAGTTTTATTAATTTTAGTACTTGTTAAATGAGTGTAAAAAAGTATTGTAGACTACCTACTTATGTTGTCTGAACATATGAGTAGTTAGGTTTGCTAGTATTGTCACTTTCTTGTCTTTGATATGTTTTGAAATAAGAAAATATAGAACAGAACGTACCATGAGATGAGTTCTTTAACCCTATTTGATATCTTTGCAGAAAATCGGGCGTGACCAGATATTTAAGAAAAAGTTTGGAGGTATCTACTCTGACCAGAAGATATGCCAGGACTGCCCTCATAGGTAAGTTGATTAAAATATTCCATAAGCAACTGTATGAATACACTGTGCTTGTGCTGAAATGTCGATACAGAAAAAGCATTCAAATTTATCCTCAGGCATCTGAATTCAAAATGACCACTCTTTCTTTTGTTGATGTTTTTGTTACAACTTCAACACAGCTTGTGTGATTTGGTTTTTGTTTGAAGTAATTATGTAATACAGTTTTGCCAAAATTGAACCTTATCTTCTCAGAAATACACTTCGCCAAGCTGTTTTGTCAGTTTTACCCTTTGAAGTTGCAATTTTGCTAATTCCCAAAATGTTGTCTTTAAAGTCTTGTGTACATGATTCCAGCCAAACACCGATTGATCTGAAATTTTTAGGAATGCTTTTTTTGTATGAAAATCTACAATTTATCATTAGTTTTCCGGCTAACTCAGCAAATTCTGAAGTGACCCTTTTGAATTTTCGATCCTTAAATTTTGTCTATTCACCTGATTACCGTTGGGCTTTCAGGATGAAAAATCTATATAGGATCACCAAATTGTGGGGAACATATTGAACATGTATGTGCCCTCATATTAGCAAATGCCCATTATTTTTATACTTTCCAGGTATGAGAGAGAAGAACCATTCTTTGCTTTGAACCTGACTGTGAAGAATGCTACTTTGGAAGACTCCTTAGACCAGTTTGTTATGGGGGAACTACTGGATGGTGACAATGCTTACTTCTGTGAGAAATGTGGAGAAAAGGTTTATTATATTTTATTGCATATTTTCAAAAAACTGCCACCAATGTTTTTAACTTTGGCAGCAAACTGGAATAAAGAAGAAAAACAGTACAAAGTGAATTAAATTGTTTCTTGTAGTTCAGCTTTGTATTCATGAATGTAATTGTTGTGAAGTTGTTAATTGACTTCATGAAAGAGAGATTGCATATGTTGTTTTTTTATTAATCATTTTTATTTCAAGTTCATATATTATAACATTTAATATCATACAATGAAAATTCAACAAGGTTGCATATGTAGCAGTCAATAACAGATTAAAATGCATTGAACACATTAGAATCATTAATCATCTATAATATTGACATGTGTCTTGACCCAGCAAAATTTAGAAAAATTAGATTAAAAATAATATATTTGTTGATCTATGTTTCAGCGTAATACTGTAAAGAGAATGTGCATAAAGACTCTACCCCCAACATTATGTATTCAACTCAAGAGATTTGGCTACGATTGGGAAGCAAATCGTGCGTTGAAATTTGACGATTATTTCAAATTCCCATGGGTACTCGACATGGAACCATATACAGCAGAGGGAATGGCACGTTTGGAAGAGCAAGAAAAAGAAGAACAAAACCAACCTTCAACTCCTTCAAAAGATGGAACTTCAGGGAATATTATAACAACAGGAGCAAGGGCCTCTATGGCAGTGAATTATGAACTTGTAGGTGTTGTTGTTCATAGTGGTCAAGCCAATGCTGGTCATTACTATTCCTTCATAAAGGAGCGCAGGTAATCTTTGGTTGGTTTTAACTTGTGATTCAGTTGGAATATATTGTCTAATTATATAATTAAGTTTAATTTATGTGAAATATAGCAATGAATTTGCTCTGTTGTGCACTGGGGTGTTGTTCTTGCTTTATGGAACAACGCAGTCATGGCATTTTAATTGTTGACATTGTATAATAAGTATCTAGTCACGTAGAAAATATATCTCAAATATTGTATTATGTCAGTGAAATGTGGCTTTTCTGAGGTACATCACATTATGTCTATTTAATGTGACAATAATTTACCTGGTTTTCAGAGGTACATCACATTATGGCTATTAAATGTGACAATAATTTACCTGCTTTATAGATGTACATCACATTATGTCTATGAAGTGTGACAATAATTTACCTGCTTTTCAGAGGTACATCACACTATGTCCATCAAATGTGACAATAATTTACCTGCTTTTCAGAGGTACATCATATTATGTCTCTGAAATGTGACCATAATTTATATGCTTTCCAGGGGTACATCACTTACAAATGAGAACAAAGGAAAGTGGTTCAAGTTCAATGACCAAGTGGTTGAGGAGTTTGACCTGAATGATGAAACTTTAGAAGCTGAATGCTTTGGTGGAACATATCGGGCAAAGGTCTATGACCAATGTAAGTATGAACAAGGCATTAACATGCAAAATATCACCACCTGCCAAATGCCAACCACTGAACACCAAGCACTAGCCATAAAAAAAGTTGGAGACTAAAACAGTAAATAATAAAAATAGAGAAAGTTCTCTAATTAATTACCTCTTGTTAGATATTGTGCATATCTTCCCAATGTCTCCATATATAAACTTAGACTGCAGTTCACAAAATATGTGTATTAGTTAAAATCCACATTTTTCTTTCCAATTTAGTTCTAGAATGTCATCTCCACCAACAAATTGAAAAATCAAGTTCTTGTTTTAACACAATACTTTAAGAATTTGATATTTTTATTCCAAAATGGCTGTATAATGCATGTATTTCATTTGATTTAATTTAAGCGAGCAGTTACCCAGAAGAGAGGCAGCGCTATTGGAATGGCTACTTACTATTCTATGAGAGGATGGAAGAGATCAGAACACCTGTGTCAGCCAAGAAGAGTAAAATCACAATGTTTGCCAAGAGAGAGCATAAGTATGTTACAAATACAATATGTCAGTACTAATACAATATATCAATGCAGATATATTATGTCAATACAAATACAATGCCTCAATACTAATACAATATGAAAAAATATAAGTTTAATACCTCGATACAAATATGGTTAACTTATCTTAATATGAGTCAAATTAATAATTTGCTAAGTGATATCTTAGATATTGATATAAGATTAAAAATTGTTTAATTGCGTGTCATTTTCTTTCCAATATATTCTCGCCTCTCCCTATGAAAAAACTGAAGTTGTCCATTTGACTTCCCTTTTATCCTTTTCCTTTATATTTTGAGACTATTTTTGAATATCGTCTAATTTTGCATTCTCTTCACTCAATAGGACTCCAGGTAGAAGCAGTGACAGTCTCAGGGAACTATCAGAACTTGTACATAAAGGTGAAAAACGAGGGATTTTCTCAGACAGTATGCCAGCACGAATACAGCGTGGAATTAGGGATGAAAATCTCAAGTTCATGAAAAACAAAAATGTTTATAATGATGACTATTTTACCTTCATGAAGGACTTCGTCTCTAGAAATTCCGTAAGTTTACACATTTAAAGTGACTTGTTTATGATATTTGATTAAGTAGTCTCAAATAAGGTCTATTTTGATTGCACTTTTAAAAAGTGCTATATTGATGGCGGACAAATATGGGGGTGGGTGCCACATAAGTCAAATCTTGTCATAGAAATTCCAGAAAACTGCTGACCTCTTCAACTTGTTTAAAGTATAATCATCAAATACAGCGGAATGCAGTGTAAAGTTAACAAATATGAGTTTGTTTTATATAATTTTACAGGAATATGTCAAGGATGCTGCCTATACAGACATGTGCCTTCAGTCTCTACAACTAGGCATACATTTTCTCTTCAATACCTATCTCAAAACTAAAAGGAAGAAAAGGTGAGGAATGTGTGTTCACTGAGGTTTTTATTCAAGCTTTTTTGATGAATTCTACATTAATTCAACAAATCCGATGTTTCAACAGTGTAATTTGCTGTGTTTCATAGTTTTTCTTAAAACCACCAAAGTATAACAATAGGTTGAAATATGTTCTCTCCACAATATTGCTCTGCTTAAAATTAAGTTTCAAAAATATTGTTTGAATTTGTATCTTCCTCATTAGTTGGCATGATACTATGTTTACCTAAATGTATTGTGAGGTCATGTGGTTCTCATTAGACCACCTTAAATCATAACTGTCAAACTCTGTTGTAGGTTGATCATAGATGAATGGGTGAATATCATTGATACTCTAGTCTACAGATGTAAGGCAGCATGTAACTGGCTGGTGCAGTATCTAGCAATAGAACAGGGAAAGACTTATATTAAGTAAGTTGTCCTTCCTAATTGACAATGTTTTCTTTATTCTAGAGGCTCATTAAAAAACTAATAATTCATGAAATTGATTGTACAAAGATGTCACCAAATACGGTGCAAAAGTACCATTTTTATGTCACCACCAAAAGTGGTGACATATTGTTATGGTCTCCGTTTTTTTTTATGTCACCACCAAAAGTGGTGACATATTGTTATGGTCTCCGTTTTTTTTGCGACGGCGGTTGGTGGTTGGCGTCCGGCGGTTGGCGTCTGTAACAATTTCTTACAACTTCCTATAACTTAACAAATACTGTTTAGACTGACTTCAATTTTTTTCTAAATCATCTACATGTTCTCAGAAGTTCAAATCTGACTTTAGATTTGACATTTGACCTTCAATGACCTTCTCAAGGTCAAAAAGGTCTTTTTTCAACTTGCTTCACATTGACTAAATTTTTTTTCAAAATCATCTACATGTTCTCAGAAATTCAAATCTGCCTTTAGATTTGACATTTGACCTTCAAATCTGACTTCAGATTTAACATTTGACCTTCAATGACCTTCTCAAGGTCAAAAAAGGTCAAAAAGGTCTGTTTTCAACTTGCTTCAAATTGACTAAATTTTTTTTTCAAAATCATCTACGTGTTCTCAGAAATTCAAATCTGACTTAAGATTTGACATTTGACCTTCTCAAGGTCAAAAAAGGTCAAAAAGGTCTGTTTCAACTTGCTTCAAATTGACTAAAAAAAATTTTCAAAATCATCTACGTGTTCTCAGAAATTCAAATCTGACTTTAGATTTGACTTGAGATTTGACATTTGACCTTCAATGACCTTCTCAAAGTCAAAAAAGGTCAAAAAGGTCTTTTTTCATCTTGCTTCAAATTGACTAAAATTTTTTTCAAAATCATCTACATGTTCTCAGAAATTCAAATATGACTTTAGATTTGACATTTGACCTTCAATGACCTTCTCAAGGTCAAAAAAGGTCAAAAAGGTCTTTTTTCAACTTGCTTCAAATTGACTAATTTTTTTTTTCAAAATCATCAACATGTTCTCAGAAATTCAAATCTGACTTTAGATTTGACATTTGACCTTTAATAACCTTCTCAAGGTCAAAAAAGGTCAAAAAGGTCTGTTTTCAACTTGCTTCAAATTGACTAAAAAAAATTTTCAAAATCATCTACGTGTTCTCAGAAATTCAAATCTGACTTTAGATTTGACTTAAGATTTGACATTTGACCTTTAATGACCTTCTCAAAGTCAAAAAAGGTCAAAAAGGTCTTTTTTCAACTTGCTTCAAATTGACTAAAATTTTTTTTCAAAATCATCTACATGTTCTCAGAAATTCAAATATGACTTTAGATTTGACATTTGACCTTCAATGACCTTCTCAAGGTCAAAAAAGGTCAAAAATGTCTTTTTTCAACTTGCTTCAAATTGACTAATTTTTTTTTCAAAATCATCTACATGTTCTCAGAAATTCAAATCTGACTTTAGATTTGACATTTGACCTTTAATGACCTTCTCAAGGTCAAAAAAGGTCAAAAGGTCTGTTTTCAACTTGCTTCAAATTGACCAAATTTTTTTTTCAAAATCATCTACATCTTTTCAGAAGTTCAAATTTGACTTTACAAGTTCTCAGAAATTCAAATCTGACTTAAGTTTGAACTCATAATATTGTGAGCAACTAGGTGGTGACATTTTGTCATGTTAATGCCTTGTTACCTATGATATAGCCATAAAATCATTTGAGTAGCAATTGAATGGTCCAAGATACAAATAAAACAAAAGTTACTTGGACATGCATGAACCTAAGTATGCATGATGTATCTCATTGTCAAATTAAAATATTTTTCTTTCAGGCCTTTCCTATTAGAATGCCCAAATAAGGACGTCAGGGTGGCATTTTCCCGCATCTTGGAACAAGTCATGAGCAGTTATTTCAAACATAAAGGAGTTGCTGTGAGTAGTTATGAGTATGTTTGAAAGAACACTGACAAAATTATGTATTGGGAGGGATTGAATATGGGTTTCATTCCGAGGGACAGTATGATATTGACCGAAGGGTAATATGATATTGACCGAGGGAGCGCAGCGACCGAGTGTCAATATCATATAACCCAAGGTCAATATCATATTTTCCGAGGAATAAAACCCATATTCAATCCTGACCAGAAATAACCTATTTATTCCATAATACACCCCTCTAAAATGCTACATTTGGATAATGCAAAAAAAGGGAAAAAATAACCGGGAAACCGAAAATAGGTTAATATGCTCCAATACGATTTTTTTCCCGGGGACAATACGATTTTTTCATGTAATACACTCTAATACGATTTTTTTCCCGGGGACAATACGATTTTTTCATGTAATACGATTCAATACGATTTTTATTCCTTCATATTTCCCTGGGAAAACAGTAGTATTATGGAATAAATTAAAATACTGATCAGAAAACTTAAATCAAATAGTGTCCTCATAAACAAAGTCTAATCTGGATAACAACAAAAAATAACTTTATCAAAAATCATCTTACTCATTTCCAGACTCACAAGTGTTTTGACGAACTGCTTGAAATTCTGCTCAGCATGTTGAAGAAGGATGTAGAAGACAATATAAAAACATGTACCCAGTATTTCTGGTTACTCAGTATGTATGTTCATCAGGTAAGTCCCAATATTTCTGGTTACTCAGTATTTATTTTTACCTTGTAAGTATCAAATATTTCTGGTTACTCTGTATCTTCACCTGGTAAATACAGTACTTAATATTTCTAGTTACTAGGTTTGAATAAGTTTAGCTTTTTACCTTTGGATTATGGTGAGAAATTTTAGTATCAAACAAAATGTTATCTTTTTGCAGGGGACCAAAGCATGCGCTCACATGTTTGGCAGAAATGGATTTGTACGACTTGTCAACTTCCTGTTAGGACCACAGTCCAAAGAACCGGTACAGCTTTTTTGATAATAGTTCATGGTACTTTGCATATAAAGGAGATATATAGAAAATATATTTAATATATTTCAAGCACAAATGAGTGTGGGAGAATTCATTATGACTATGATTCATAGATTCGAATGGGAACATAGATGAATCCTGTTTTGAAGGCTGACATAATTTATCAAAGCATTTTACATCAAAACCTGTGCATACTTACTTATAGTGAATAATAACACTTAGAAAAGAAGGGTTTTTGTCATATGTAGATTGATAGTTTTTTAATATGAGGTATTATGTGTCTAGGAGTCTCCCAACAGAAGATGGAGTTCTATGCAATCAAGGGACTTTGGCTACCTCCATGAAGCTTTAGCAACTCTTATCCTGAACTGTGATGTTTCTGGGTACAGGACAGATGGTATGTATTCACTTGTTTATATGTAGTAATCACAAGTTTATTAAACTTTATCCTGATCCATTTCATTTTCTCATCTATTCCCATGTATGGAGTCATTTCCTATTTGACAATTTTTAAAAGTAGAATAGAAAAGCAAAAAGCAATAAGCAATGTTTGCTCATAATTCATAATTTCCAGATCCTGGTAAATACCCTGAAAGGAAACCCTCCACCTCTCACCCCACCATCTTCCTGAAGATGTCGACAGAGATGCATAAGAAAGTCTTCGGGGATGATTCTAGTCGTTATGTTCGTGAAGTCATATTGGCGGTGCGCGAGATGAACTCCAGCCTCAGTGTGATAACAGACATGATTCTATACTGCTGTTATTGCAACGCTGCATTCACTATGGCCGTTCTTAGGCAAATTATGGTGAGTTTTTCATATGATCATCTTGTCGCACTTTTTTACCACGCATGTTTGAGAACCTTGAAGATTTTTAGTAGAGAGATACCATATTCAGCAAAATTGCACAAATCTACTGCCATAACTGCAATTTCCAATCATCTTTACTTTATTTTTTTAATATTGATGCCATGCGTCCTTTCAGCTTCAATATACCAATGCCCCCTCAAATGAGTTGAAGAACCTGTTCTCTGTGCTGTCAGAGCTGCTGTCCATGGAGGACCCATTACAGATGAAGAGACTCCAGTGCATCATAGATGGCTACATTGATGAGACAAATACTAACTATGAAGGAATGCTTGGTGAGAATACAAGAACTTTAGAATATGCTTTTAAGTATCTGAAATGGTGGAGTGAAGTGGTCTTAGGGATGATATTAGGTCTATACTTGTGGCTGGAATGTCCAGGGGCAAGATGGGCAAGGAATGAAATGTCTGTTCAGAAAATTCTTGTTCTGATACAGAACATGCCTGGAATTTTACAATTAAAAACATTATTTTACTAGAAACACCAATTTGGCTGTTGATAAGATTGTAAATTAAAAATGAATTTGTTCTATTGAGAGACTTGTGGTAAATCTCACATGCTCTGCTTACAGCGGTTGTGAAGATCAACCACAACAGTGACAGCAGGAGATCCTACCAGTGTATAAAGTTCCTGGTGGCCCTCACCAATAAATGTACCCTCGCCAAGGACTATCTCATACAAACACCCACCAAGTGGCAATGGGCAGTCAACTGGCTCAAGAAAAAGGTAAATCTTTCGCTTCGTGATTCTTGTGGTTTTTTTGTCACTTCCAGAAGTTGTGACATATTGTTATATACTTTTTTTGTTTGACAGTTGGCATTTGACGGTGGGTGGTCAGTGTCTGTAACTAATGGCAGGTGGTGACATTTTGCATTTAAATGCCTTGTTTAATATTGTTCGAATTCTGATGATGATTGGTAAGATTTCAATTTAGGTTCACTCTTCCAGGCAGGCTAGTTAGACATAATGCATAGTTTATCCTTGAAAAATCTCCAATTGTACACATAAACATCTACATTTACTTGAATTCCCTATTTAAGATGAGGACTTGTACAGTTGAACTATAAAGTTCAACCCTGCCCCATAACCCATCTTTCCTGTAGTATTAATCCTTTATATCTGTAATGTTTCAGATGTCTGAGTACTCCTACTGGACCCCTCAGAGCACATGTACCACCTCAAATGAAGACTCGGGTAGTAAAAGCTTTCAAAGAACAATCAGTGCACAGGTACCATAGCAGCCACTTCTTCACTTTTGAATTTTCGATGGAAAGCAACATTTCATGAATTAAAAAGGACTTTTGTCTTGAATTCAATCTAAAACATTAGATCAAACATAAAATGAATATACAGTCTACTGATTGAAAACTCTTAAAAGTCTCTTAATTCTTATAATTAAGTCTGAATTTTATCAAGCTAAGCTTGTAGAATTTTTATGAATTTCAGAAATATACTCACATAGATCTTAATTTCATTTTCAAGTTTTGTGAATAATATTAAACTCAGTGGCTTATAACTGTATGACAAATCTTGAATTTCAGGACACATTGGCTGAGGCCACTGCTCTTCTGACAGAGTTTGAAAACCATGAAAATGGGAACCAAGAGAATGGGAACATTGTTGATATGGACATAAATGGAAGCAGTCCAGAGAGCAATGAGACATCAACAGAGGAGGTTAGCTCCCAAGATTCAACAGAGACGATAAAATACACACCTGATGAAGTAGAAAGTGATCGACTGTGATGATATCTACACAAATGTGCATTTACAAAATCATTTCCCTGAATGGAATGTAATTTAGCCACTTATTTGATACAAAGTAATACCAGCAAGCTATATGTATATGCAATTGAAATATTGATGATATTTTTGGAATTATACATTCTGAACTCAGGAATAATAACTTAAACTGCAACAACATGGGGTATTTTAATGGAAGTTATCAGAGTTTATTCACCCAACAAGGCTCTCACCAGGAATTTAGGGTGTGGAGGAAACATCCTCAGCATAACCGTTCAATCGTGATAAATCATATCTATGTTACACTTCAATCTTTTTACACGCTATTACATGTGTTGGGTATTCAGTCAAGTTTAGACTGTGGAAACAATCATGATTTCCCAATAGGTTATGGTGGGAGCTAAAGAGACTTTGGTGCTGCTCCACAGTTGAAAAGCCTAGCGAGACCTGACCTATGTACTGTTGTGGTTTCTATAGCAACAACAATGACTTCATAACTTCCCAATTTACAATAATTTTCCTTTTTATCTGAACTGTTACTGGGACCATATGACTGACTATCAATGCGTCTCCTTCTACCAATTCTAGTTATTTCTCTAACTATGAAAATGATATCACTTGTACCGCTTTTGTATTTATTGGCTGAAATGGAATCACAATTTTGTGGTTTTAGTGAGGGGATGCTGTGCATGTTATCTCTTGGTTAAATGTAATGTCAGCATTGTACGAACTATATCCAAAGAAAGGTTACTTTTTCAAAGTTACGTGTACTTAATCAACTGCGAATACGCAGATTGTAAGGTGGGTTTCTGTGTATAAGCAATATTTCTTTCTTGAGGATTGGAATTTTGTAAATCAATATGCCATACTTAGAACATTTTTACAATATGAAGCTCAATTATATTATACCAAATTGTGGATGACTTAAATAAAATGAAATAAATTTCAAATAAATATGCAGAAATTGGAATGCACAAATTCAGAATTTAATGGAAAGAAGTCTAAGCACAACCAAATATTTATCATGCAGTAATGTGTATATATTAAATTTTATATGTGAATACTGTAAATAATTGTACAGATCTCCCCCAATGTTGTATGTTCATTATGTTGTACAATGATGATTATGCAGCATGATTTATGATGATCATACAGAATGTACAATGATGATCATACACTGAAGTAAGATGATGTGCAAAGATGATCACAATATGAACATACAGTATGATTTAGTACTAAAAGATCATAAAGAATTTACAATGATAGTAGTTCAAAGATGATCATAACAATATGATGTACAGTAATGATCCTACAGTGTGATGTACAATAATGATCAATGAGTCTTCTTAGAATGTTAATGACCAAATCTAGTTTATCCTCTAAACTTTGTAAATTATGTCACTAATGTCGGTGCATGTACATGTATGGTGCATGTATGGTGCATGTATGGTACATGTATGGTGCATGATGATAATCATTTTGCAGGGAAAGTGATCATACAATTGCTGGGAGACAATGTCCCACCTTTACTATAAATAGAATTTAATGTAATGCATTTGTTGTATAAATATTAATAATATGCAGAATAATTGACCAATGTACTGATGTTCTCTACTATGCTTTCTATACAGAAGCTCTGCCTCTGTGTGTATGTAGCCAGTACAATCAGAGTTATAAACAACCTTATGTGAAAATGAAGGCTATAAACCAATATCATTCATTTCAATGAACTAATAATATAGTTTTGTAGTATTGTAGTATAAACATTATTTTATATTTAAGAATTTTGATTGAAGCTTATTTCATGCTATATATTTATATAATGATCCAAATATTTGTATTGTATGTACACGTGTCTTATACTATCAACTCTCTTTAGCCAAAATGTAAGTGCAAACACCAAGTTAATGATTGTTGCCTGAATGTGGACCATCCCTCATACAGAATCAAGATATAATAGATCTCTAAAACTGGGTTGCCATAGTCAGGGGAACACCAAAACCAAAGTGGTTTTCCATGACCTTGAAAAGTAAGGAATTTTAGAATATTCTCCGAAATGCCTAAAATGGTCTGGTAGTTTACTTCTAACATTGTTTGTTAATATAAAACGACTTAATTGTGAATTATTGGCAGTTTAAGACAACTGATTATCACTTACTTCCCTCATGAACTATTTTCTAAAAAAAACTTTTGTGACGTTCTCATTTCTTAGGTATACCACCTTTTAATGGAATTTAAAGCCTAATGTAGGATTTACAGGGTGTTACAAGTGAAACCTGCTGAATGATTATCTTAATAATGAAGTCCCATTGTGATATGTGACTGCCAATTACATTATCTATTACTATGTGGTTATCTGATTACACGTGTACACTGAACAAGTTGCCATGTTTTAGTGTAAAAGATTGTACTATTATTTTGTTTCACATTTTTATTATTAGATTTTTGTTGTTGATATTGTTAAAAATTGATTGACTGTAAATATTATGCAGAATAAATGAGCTGAAGGGCTGTATAAATTACTTCTAAGTTACAAAGTAGTTACTGTTATTGGACATATTTCCATAGAATAGCACTTGTAGTTTCACTAAGGCGTCTTGTGATTACATTACACCAAGTCAATTCAGAAATTAAATTTTATATAGAGAAATGAAATCTAAAAACAAATTTTGGGCACATTGAAAATAAAATAAATCGAATGAGGTGAAGCATTATTTCTACTCTCCAAATTCAGTTTGAAAATTAAGAAACTAATGAATTAGATGTATGATGAATTCGAATGATGAGACAGTGGGGGACAAAAGAACGGAGAAGCAAGACTGGTTCACCCCAAAAATTATTGCAATTTGCAGCACATGTATTGGTGCCTTACCTATCCAAACCTCCAACTTGAAGCCTTTGGAGGATGCACATTTTTGTGACCCTAATTAACATGTTTACTGCCTTAGGCAGTTTTTAGGCTTTGTATAAAATACCTATCTCATACCCACCTACGTGGGACATGATACAGTCATTGAAGGGTCATTGAAGGGCTTGAATTATTAACATTTCTACAATTCCATCTTTATTTTATGACTAGACAGATGACAGATCCATAAATAAAGGCATATGGATGCATTTCAATGTGCAATGACCCAAGGGGAATAAATAACTAACGACCGCGAGCATAGGTCCAACAAGCCAGATGAAGAAATTGAAAGAAAGTGTGATGTTTTTCCACCGGTGTGGACATTTCTGGATTATTTCCGGTGTTTCCTTTTGTTGCTACCTCATTTCTCAAAGTATCCATGCCAATTTCTTGACTCTGTTGAAAGCCCATGGTCTAATCAACCGTACCTCCTTATCTTATGATGACCGCACAAAATGACAGAGCGTGGGAACCGACTGTGCCAAATGCTACACGGATATTGCAGCTATGTGTGTTGTGTTTTCAAGTGTTTATATATGTCCGACAAATCGAATTATGGTTTTGATCTAAATGTATTTAATAGTATCTAGATGTCTCGTTCATTCATTTGACCATTAAAAATCATTACTGCCAGGAAAGTAATATGAATAAAGTATGTAAATAAATGAATTAAAACGTCAAATTAAGAAGCAAAAGTCTTTTCTGGGTCACTGCGAATGGCATGATTTCCTCGAGTCTCTTCAGTTGCAAGGCAACCATACTGGGACCGATTCGCGTCGTTCCACTACTGCCCTTGGTGGGGGCCCGCTACCATACTATATGACTCCCGGAGTTTACTAAAGCACGTTAGTGGAGGAACCAACCACAGTCTCACAATCTGTCTCCGGCAAGAGCGGCCAGAGAACCAACCCATGCCAAGGGCCGGTAAACGGTTGGACCTTCGGACCGGGTGTCCGTAGTGACAATGATCAACAACTCCGTACCTGGGGCTCGAACGCGGGACCTCCGTATCCCACGACGTTCAACCGCAAAGTAGCCTCAGTCTACGCCTCTAGGCTACCCTGCTTAGGTGTCAAAATTGCTGAAAAATAATGTAGTTGTTACAATTATTTGCTTGGATAAACATGATATTACACTTCTTAATTGATTAATCGGATTTAGTTGGAATTGAAGTTTGACCAACGATCAAGGCATGCAATCAACAACTCTTGCAAATGTGAACGGGAGTGGTAAAGACAGAAAGTACAAGAATCGTAATCAATGTAAAGTATAATATTTAAGACACATCTTTGAATATCGGGTAGGAGAAAAATTCCAAAATGAAGAAAATTATTTAGAACATTTGATTTGTTGCCAATATATCAATTGCGTCTCAAATGAATGAAATAAAAGGTATCGCGGGCCACTAAAGCCCATGAGTGAAAACAATTGACGCATCTAGATCGCTCAATATAACGGTAAGTGAATAGGTTTGTGTAGATATGTCGAGGAAAATAAGCTATTTCGACGCTTGAAATAATCTGATTACGCTTATTAATAATTACGCGTGGCTATTCAACACAAGTGTTGTGTAGACCAAAACAAGAAAACTGAACGACCTATTAAGGAACTGTACTTCAGTTTCAAAGTGTTCAAGATATTTCCGCATGTTCAAAAACACATAATTCATATTTTAGGCTATCCATATAATTTTGTCAGATATCTCCAATTTATATTACAGGGAAAGCATAATCATGTTTCCGAAAAGAATTTGCACTCGCTATTCAAAATGAGGCATGACACAAGTACAGAGAATAGCCTAGTGAAGGCATCTATCTAATAGTGGCTTTTCCATATAGCTTTGAAATATCATTATCGTTTAATGAGATTTTAGGAGATCTGCATTTTAACCACTAATTAAGACTAACATTTTCTTCTATTTGAATTCTGTACGTAATTTTCTATCAAATCAACTTTCGCGAATATAAGCCAACCTCTTTCAACTCAACAATGTCAACTCAGCAGTGTATTAATAAGGTATAATTAAATAATTAGGTATTACAATAAAATGCGTGGTATATGTGCCTTGATAATTCAAATTCATAAAAATGCACGTGAAACGAGAACCTGGAAAGAAACTGAAATATATGATCTTATTGAAACAAGACACAGGGTGAACAGAATCGTACCCTTGAATACAATACAGTTTTCAGGACGGAAAATTCAAAATGGCAGCCCTAACATTTACACAGACTGCCCAAAAACTAATCAGTTCTAAACTTTCATACGTAGAAACATCACTGAAACTTTCAGATGAATCCCCGAAACGATTTGGCTGAAATCGGTAAACAAGATAAATTGGGACGCCCAACCGCCGTCCCACCCGCCTAGCATACCGATCACAATATAGCACCTAAATGTGCCATAAAAATGAACAAAGTATGCAGCATGTACCATTATCCGAGTCACTTGAACGAAATAAACATATCCTCGATTATAAGAAATTATATAAACAGTTTTTATTAACTTTAAAAATATACGTATATTGAATAAAAAACAGAAAATAAATCATTTGAAATCTATTTCTTTTATTTTATCAATTTTTACCTTCTTCTGACACATTGAGTTAAGGCATGTGCGTACTTTGCGTCCTTGTAGCTGTGGAATGCTATTGTTTTGAGGACTTTTGTAAGTAGTGAATGTTATTACTAGGATTACTTCGGAGAATCAGCAGAGGTTAATATGGTTTTATTTCAATCAAAACTTCACATTCATTGAAACAGGAGGGAACATCATTATCATTAAGGTGGGTATAGTGGGTCAACATTTGAACATGACATCAGTTGATGCGCCAACATGAAAAACGGTTAATTATCCAAAATTGCTCATACTCTGGCTACAATGGGTCTCCCGAAATGACAATTCTACATTCAAATGTGAAGAGCCATTGTAAAGTAAACTAGTGAGCTACAATACCATAATAAAATATAAATAAAGCTTTCCAAATCTGTAAATGGTTATTTATTTTAAATAATCAATGCATATATGACATAAGGGTTCACCTTATATGGCTGCATTATAAATACAATATATTATAAACACAATATATCATAAAAGAATTGTATACTTAAACGTTTTCTTTTTCCAAATACCTACACAGTGTATCTGTATACTTTGGCTCTGGTTTCGATATACTATTCTAGTGTTTTTAACAATCTTTTAACATTGCCCAGGCCAGTAGCCAGGATTTGCCAAGGGGGTTTACTTTTCGAAAATTTCCAGGGGGGGTTCACTTTTGACAATTTTGGTCCAAAAATGGCCAAAATCACTTAAAATGTGTTCAGAATGATGAAAACTGCATAATTTTGAACCCATCGAACCCCCCTGGCTACGGGCCTGTTGCCAGTAAATCAAACCTATCAATACTTTAAATAAAATAAGCAAAATCAGCATAAAAAAATTGGCACAGTGCTTTGCTTTAAGTACTAAAATACTACTAATCACTGAAAACTACTACTAAGTCTACTAACAACGCTAACAAAAAGCACCATACATATGTATGTAAATATGTGTATATACAATACAATGTCTATGATTGCATCTTATGTGTATGTTTAGAAAGCAAACTGAAATCCTAAAACAAACAAAACAATCCATAAAACATTTCACTAAAATAATCAAATAAGCATTCTACAACACTGGTTTTACAATACCATACCCAATATTTCATCTATATCATAATAGATAATGTAAAGCTGATATAAAAAGCATTTATGTTTTTAGCACTATGATCTACCATGGGCTTTCAACTAGTAATTGAAAGCCCATGGATCCACTGAGATCTGAAATTCTGTGAGAGAATACTGAATTGCACTCAGGAAATAACTATTGGGAAATAACTATTAGGAGATCGTCTAAATTATCAATGTTTGCTAAATGACCAAGTTAAATTCAACTTGGAAATACCCCTCTCATAGGCCCTGGGAACATGTATAAAAAAGATTGAGCTGAAAATTGAGTTAAAAACGAAATAACACTACCATATGTCTTCATTTTCAAGGTTTCAATTGCAAAAATGTCTGTATTAATCTTTTTTCTGTGAAATTTTGGCGAAGTTACTGACTGACAGCACCGATTACGCCCATCCTCACTAAGACTACAATTTACTCATTTACAATATCCAAAATTTACTTTTTGCATACTGATAAATATTTTGATACAATCTCTTCATTCCCTGAGAATTTGAGGTTTTTCAAAAATTTCTGGGGGCTGTATTATAACCCCCTACATCTTCGGTCAGTGTAGACTAAAGAGTCATCATACACCTCAGTTAAATTACTTATATATGCTTTCTAATTTGCCAAGATATTTTGATTTTGTCCATTTTGGTACACCAGTAAGTCCACAGTGATCTCCATGACAACACAATATGTTTGTTTTATGCAACATTCACTCATAAATACTCATACAACTGTTTATATATCAGCAGCTGGCACAAAGGCATCAATACACATGTAGATATTATTACGAGACGCATTCAATAAATACTAATACATTCATAATTTCAAATAACGGCAATTTGTAGAACATCCCTCAGAGCACTGGTTTACAAAATATGTTCCTCCTCTCCAGTTATTTCAAACTGGTGATCACAGAGAAGAAAGGGTGATTTTAGAGCCCTGTACCCGGAGGATGTTTATGGAATATAATTCCAAGTTTTAAAGCCATACAGTGATACACATTTCATACATAAGGGTTATGTACTGCGAGGTTTTGGATACAGGGTTTATCTGTTGGGAAATATAAGTATATCACTCGGTCCCGTATCCAAACCGTCGACCGTACATAACAGGTGTATGCCATACCTACTAAGGTTCTAGGTATATTCTTATATATCAATATTGTCTTATAAAGTTCCAAAATTCAAAAATACGCTTTTTCTTAGTCTTAGCAGATCAATGAAAAGTTGAAATATAATCTTTATTTTTTGTATACGTAGGAAAAATGAACGTAAATCGAGTTCGCTTTTTGGGAGCGGGACCGGGATGGATACAGGCTGTATCCACCCCGTCCCGCTCCTCAGTGATAGATCCCTAGATACAGTATATATTCCCGCTCATTATTTACCTAGAACCTTTAGGTATGGAATACACTATCTTACGTTTTGCCATGAAAACGCCAGCTTTTGTGAACTTGAGCAGTGATTTACAAAATACTATACAACACTCATACACATTCAATTGACATTATTGTTTCTTTACAAACACTGCGAATCAATCACTTTTTATCGGAGGCAAAAAAGCAACTACATATACATGATACCCAAAAGTGATCTAACCAACAGGATACTTCATCCTAATTTTATCGCTTTTTGTCAAAATATCAGAATATATCACCTTTTTGGCAAGGTACATAGATATTTTCAATAACTTTCTGCACACTGTTCCTCTGATGCTTTGGAGGAGAACAGTGCAATAGTATTTTAGTGCACATTGTTTCAAAATTCATCACAACCACATAGTGACATCAACTATTGTCCAATATACATTGCTATGATATCTGAGTATCCGATAACTAGAGACCAACTGATAGTTTCAGCATATATTCAATTCTGTCAAGCAAATATCTAAATTCTGTCCATGTAAAACATTAAGCTGTTGTCTGCTATTGGAAATATAAGAGGTGATATGGTTTATGACATCACATAGGCAAATCAGAAGGTCTATTCTTGAAAATATAAATGATGCTTCCAGAATGAAATTCTCTCTACATTTGTAACATTGTAAAAGACAACTGAATTCCAGGAGTAATACTTTATGGTAATTTCAAGGAATAGACCTCTGAATATCTGTTATATTATGCAACATTGTTTCCCAGTTGAGACTTCACTCCACCTGGGTTCACTTGTTCAATCTGGGATACAGAGCGCTCCAATATAGGATCATTCCAGTCTATTGGGGAGCTAGCCTCTTGGGGCTTGCCATCCTCAATAGCTCCTCTTCCCCCATAAGGTCCTCCCTTCCTGTATGCCCCTCCCTTACTATGCCCAGCTCCCCCCTCTCCATTAACTTCTCCCCCTTCAACATTATTCCCTCCTTCCCCATTTAACAGAGCCCCGATGGATGCAGTGACACCTTGGTTATCTGTTATAGTACCAGATGACGTATGATCCTCCTTATCCACTTCATCTATACCAGACTGCACGCTGTTCCCCACAGATTTACCCACAGACTTAATTTTAGCTCCATCACTTGGGCTTTTCTTCTTTTCCTCAAAGTTCCCTGGTTTGAGACTATTCTGTGATGTCCCAGGTTTGAGGCTATCATCTTGGGAATGCTGGGATTTCAGATGATGCTTCAGCCAAGTGGAAGTATGTTCCCCATTAGGTTCACCACTAGGTGGCAGACTGCGATTCATAGGTTTGTAAATGATTTCCTCCGTGTCAATATCTGACATGTTAAATATGTCCTCCTGGAGTGGATAAACACAAACAACATGCAGTTAGTATACAAGCCAGGTTAGGGATTTTTTCATACTCTAAAATCCAACAGATACATCTAATAAGCATATGGCTACAAATGGTAAAATAAATAAAAAAGATGCACAATGTGTTCAGTACAATAAAGGCTAAATGCTATATCAATTTACTCTTACAGATTTTAATACACAAGAACCTTTTCATACTAGAAATAATGCATTATGTTCAATTACATGCACAGTTAAACAGAAGGCAATAGGGCAAGTGTTTGGGCAAGCATAAATGCATGATTGCATGATTCAACTGTTACTGCAAAACATTTTGCAAGTTGCACCAGCATTTCAAATAATGCATGCCTGAACAGCGCTCTGATTGGTCAGAAAATGGCTTGGTATGTGTGAATATAGAATATTAGAATTAAATTCCAGCAACCTCAAGCCCATTGAAATTCATAACGTAAATCAGAGCTTCTAAATATTACCTATTAATTTTTATCTGTTGAATCCTACAATTAATTGGCCATTTAAGTTTATAATAATAAACACATTTTCATCTTCGTGACAAGAAACAAATAGACAATAAATTCTTCAATTCACTCATTATATTCATTTGTCAATTTGATTGTGGTATTATTTGTATCATTTCACTCATCAGTTTTACTGGTTCAAGGGACTATTGTCGTAGCACAGAGGAGCCTTCAAAATTAGAGATATAAGGGGCTTTACAAAATCTAGAGATGAGAAATACCCCCCCCCCCCTAATAATTCAAATATCTATTTAAAGAAAATGATTACAGTATCTCACCAAGTGACTGTCCTGGTTGAGTGATCTAGCTGTTGTACTGGGGCTTGCATGTGGCTCACTGTTCGACACAGAATTCTGGCTACCTGTGCCTGAACAGAAAAATATGGAATGTGCCATCAAAATATTGCATACAGATTATGTGACTGTAAGACATACATAATTTCATGTAGGTGTTAACATAATATGCAGGCAAGGTACTTGCAATTCTGGCAAAGTGAGATTAGAGCTATTTCAATAGAATATTTACATTATAGGTCAAAATACTTTATTTTGGAATTGGAAAAGTAAGAATTTAATGAATGTAAACCAATAGTGAGATGGTAAGCATTTTTGTGAATCAAATGGCATGCATCCAAGTACTAGAAACTTAGAAATTACCATGAGATTTAGAGCGAATTCTCAGCACCCGCAATGAGTTCTTGGGATGATTTGGTTTCTTGCGCAGATTACGGAAACTTGATTTAACTGACGTTGCAAATGAGCTCTTGACAGAACTCTTCATTGAAGCAGGAGAGGCTGGTGTATGCTGTTTTCTCTGTGGCACCATGCTGATTCGAACATCCTCATCTGAGGTAGGTGTTATGAAGTTATCATCGATGTCAATTTCTTTTATGGAACTCAGCGTTGGAACTATCTCTGCTTGCCTTGGTGACACCCTGAAAACAATTTATCAGTATCGTAAATTAGAAGAATATGTTCTCTCATATCCCTATTCTGAGGTAAACAAGACAGACTTTGGGCTCTTTTTGCTAGGTGCCAAAGTCAGTGGTTTTACTATAATCCATTATCAAAAAATAACTTTTTTCAATTTAAGTATTTATGAAACTGCTTGAATACCAGGTGATTTTTCATTTTTACATTTAACATACCTTTGCTATATTGCTATCTTAATATGCAATGTTAATTTTTGGTAATGTCACATAATATAGGAAAATTACACACTCTTTATACCTACATGAATTTTGTATAAATTGAAAACAAATTGTCAAAGTTGGAGCCATTTTAGTGAGACATTCTGTGACTGATAATTATGCCTGCCAGTCTGGGTAATATGTGGGTATATAAAGACTTTAAGGCTAGAGACTTACACAATATCAACAGCAGATCCCATATGAAGATCACCCTTGAACTCCTCAGCAGCCTTTGTGTATGGAAGTTCAAAGTCAACGTCATCCCAGTACTGGTCCTTTATCAATTCTGGGTGCTCTGAGTGCATCTCATCAACTACCAGGTATGATACCTACAATATACAACAAAAAATATCTAGTCTGTCTAATGGGGAGTCTATACTATTTAACCTTTTGACTACCCAGAGTGACGAGATTTCTCGTCACCTCAGAAATGACCTTGTAACCCAGAGTGACGAGATAATTCGTCACAAAATTTTTCACTAAAATTGCTCTTATTTGAACAATTTTTATCCAATGTACACAAAAATTGTTTTAAAATGTCTAGAAATGATCTCTGCCGTCTAATTTTACTACATTGAACATCGCCTGTTGTATATGTATGTAGTAAAATGTCAAAAGCTGGCAAAAATGAAAAATTATCTGGTTTCAACCTTTTTAGAACCTGGGATTCAAGAGGTTAAATAACTGTCCATGACGATATGCTAAAAGTGGCCCCCTTATAAGTAGCCAAAAAGCACATGAACTTGTGCTGTATATTTTATAAAGGCTGTAAAAGTAACAAATAGGAAATTCAGACACCTCTATATAAAAATGGATCTGTGCCATAATTGAGTAAGGCTGTCATAGTCAGAGACAAATGCTACAAAAAGTAACTTAAATGAATTGAACTAAAATTTAGAATTGCTTGGACTGCAAGATACATTAATTTGTGGTTTGTTCCTAAAGACTACCAGCACAGTAGAGGAAAATGAACAAATAATTAATACGAGGTGAAATGTTTAGTTAAATTACCTGGATATTTCTGTCAATGACGCCATTCATGTCAAAATCATCATCATCTTCACCAAATGGATTAACAAGAGTTTCAGCAACCTGAAAATGGCAGTAACCCATTAAAATTGTTATTTGGTACATATGAGTATTAATTTTCAATGATTCATCAGTATAGATGTCGCCTCAAGATGAGACAATTCCTCATGTATTTTAGAGAATTTAAATGCTATAGATGAGCTATAACACTGAGGGTCCTGAATTTACAAAACATATTTTTATTCATGGGCTCAATGAAACTCTCGTTGGCAAAGTATAATATTTATGAATTTGTTGTCACTTTCTGTTGACATAGTCACTTTCTGTTGACATAGAGAAAATTCACATATTGCTCCATAACAAAAATAATTATGAAAATCTAACCACCAAATGTCTAGACATAATTGTGTACTTACATGAAGAAAGATAAAATCTCATATTGTGTTTGGTATGATTAGCTCCATATATGTTTTAGATTTATGAAGAAATATCTACATGTTATTCAATGCTTTAACGGAATGTTGCCATTTATTGGTGGTGATCTTTTTCTTTTCCAATAAGTCAGTCAGTTCAGTGCATGTGTACTTACTTTGAGCCAGCCAATGTAGAACAGAAACTGAAGGAATGTGAAGACTGGAACATACATATCTACTGGAACTGACTGGAACTTATCCTCAGGCTGCAGGAACTGTCGTCCAATCAAACACGAGAGGAAGAATGTGTATACTGCCAAAGTGACCACCTAAAGGCATGAAAGGGGACGAATCAGTTATTACAAATATGTACATCATGGTTTAATTTTCTGATGATTAATGGTTTTACATACACCCTCCAAAAGGTTCAGCTGATGACTTATTTATGTGATTATAAAGAAGTGTTGTTTGGAATTGTTTTTTATGTTCAGCATATTTTTTCAAAATCCGTGTAATTGATATTTTCAATTTGTGATATGATGAAACACGACTAGTGCAGAATTAAAGAGAATGAGAAGTTTGTAAAACAATGAACAGTTTGAAAAGATGACTTGGTCATTCCATTTGTCCACCAAGTGAGCCAAAAAACAACTGCTTAGAGTGGCAAATACCTGTGTATATACAAGGGGTACACTAATCCAGTCATAGTTGAACAGGGTCCCAAGTTTACCTCTGTATTCATTGATTTCCTACAACATTGAGAAAAGGATGTACAACTGTAATGTAAGCAGAGAACAGCCATGCTTTTCTGTATATTATAATATTAGTCAAAGGAATGACAAAAAATGAACTCTTGGGTCTAGAGAGTATTTCTATTTACATGTTGAATTATGGTTCAGAAGTCTAGACATTTTTCACTGAAATTTTCGGTAAAACCTGTAAATATGAACAAAAATATGTAAATATGAAAGCTCTGAACACCTCAAAATGTGACTTACTGCAATAAGAGTGTTCACAGCAAAGTCATCTTTTATGCGTCCTTCCTTACGAGCACGTGTGACAAGACTTGTGGCCCAGACAAGTGGAACAAAATACTTGGAGAAAGGTGTCTTAATATTTTCAATCACAACCTGTTCATTTGGTAGAAGGAATCCTGGAATTAAAAAACACTGAATTTATGGATGAGAACCATATATTAAAATTTTATGGGTAAAAATAAAGATGCAGAATACGAAATGATCAATGGCGATGGGAGTAAAAACATTTCTTTTGGGTTAAATTCATGTTTTTAGACTACAGTAGTTGGGAAAATCACAAAATCAACCATTCCCCAATAAGGTCGTCCGGTATCGATAAAAAGGTTTAAATATCTGGCCATTTCATACCTTAGATGATACACTGTAATATGATCTATCTAACATTATTGATTCGAGATCAATGTGTCAATTTTGACCTATTTGTCGGATAAGCTGACAGCTGAGGTATAGAGTACACTTCCACGCAGGTTCAACCAAAAGTTCTTAACCGTTTGGTTATAATAATTTTTAAATTCCAATTGAATTTTATTCAGAATTAACAATGTACATGATGAAAAATATTGTACCTAAAAATAATGTGCAAACAAGAAAAGCGGGATGCCGATATTTTTCCAAGCTGACAACAATGTCGCACATCTTTTAGGTATGATGAACACATAATGAAAAATACATTTGATAGTAAGCAATACAGCAAGGTATAAGTTTAAGTGAGCATACCAGCCTCCGTGATATGATCCATGGTGGGGAATCTTTTCTTGACAGAGGTACTTATACATGACAAGGTGAAAACATATGAGAGGTTGAGGTAGCGCATAATGGTACGACGCAAAAGTCGACTTCTCTGATCATCACGGCACATATCATGGATGTTAGCAGACACAAACAAGGCTGACCTATAAAATATATGTATTCATTTCTTACAAAATCAAATGGTGACGGATATCAATTCTAATAATATTTTTAAAAAAGTGATACATATAAAAGTACATGTACTAACATATAAATAAATTCATGCATAAAGATAATGATGAATTAATAACATCTTTGCAATACATGGTTCTAAATCCTATTATTTGACTTAAATAATTTCTTTATTTCAAACGTTTAATCAATGCAATACATTGCAATGTACAAATGATATCAGTAAATTAATGAATCATTTTAAACTGATAATTTTTTTATTTGAAGCTTTACCTGTCAGGCCATGGTATACAGTTGAACTGCTCCCACCAACGCGAGACCACGATTGATACATAGAATCCAAGCACAAATGCAACAGGAATCAAATTGTTGAAGCGATCACAATATGAAGCCACATTCTCAAATACCCTAAAAATACATAAATGCTCACATACCGTAAATATTATAGAAGGTATTCTGAAGTCAGGGGGCCAAGATGATTTTTAAAACCACCAACATTCTTGCTCACATATTTATAGGAACATATCACTAATTTATTTTACTCATATTTCACGACATTTCAATGCTCAACATTCGTAGAAAAAGGTTATGAAGTTAGCGGTGACACTGACTTTATTTTTTCCAATTAAATCTATTAGCAGAACAATAAATAAGGGTTATTTACTTATTATAAAAATACATCATAAGCCTAGTTCCTGGAGTAAATGGTCTTTCTACAATAAGTAGTGTTTTAATTGATGAAAACAAAACACTTTAATTACGTTATTTGTTGAACATAAAATTATCTTGCATAAAACCAGTACATTTTTATGATCTTTTCATATCTTAAAAATGAACAAAGGAATATTGTCTTTAAGAAGAATGGGCTATGTTTCAACATTATCTGTACCTAAGATAACATCAATACATCTTCATTAGGGGCTGCGTCAAAACATCAATGTCCATCAAAAAATGTAATTAATAAGTTACGTTTAGGGTGAGGGGGTAGATTTTTAGTTTCCCAGTGTTTCGTCTTTTGCAATTTTTGCATTCAGTTTTCATTCATTGTATATAATACATCCTGGTATTTTCAAAATGGCGTTGCCCATTAAAAAAGCAAAAGGTCCAACCAAATCTGTTAGGAACATTTTAACTCCCAAAAATTTGTAGACAAGTATATGACTAGTTTGGATGGTGATACAAAAGGGATAATAAATGAAGCAAATTATCAGTGGAAATTTCATCAACAAAGAAAAATCTCATCAACATTTTGACTTTCATTAGAAGGGGGAGGGGGGACAAGACCTAAATAAATTAATTATGTTTTTTGACAAACATAAATGTTTTGACCTGGCCCCTTAATCAATATTGATATGTTAACTGTAAAACAATAAATCAATTATTACATTATGAAAATTTATTCAATAACCTTCGGTGGGTAGATTTTTGAAAAATTAACCTTTGGCTGACTACAGACCTGATTAATCTTAAATAAATCAGACATATTTCTTGAATGGGCCCAGTTACTTAATAATAAGTGTAATATGTCTACAAAAAGGGTGCTTACAAGCAAGTATTTAGTTCTATACCCTGAGTCGTGAATTTAATAATATAAATCGATAAATCAATCATATACGCACAACATGAAATTAGCTGTATTGTTTTATGTTCATTTCACAACACGCAGATCTACAAGATAACATAAGGAATACTTTTAATACACTTTGAGAAGATTTAAGCAAGGAGGCTTAGCATTTATTAAAATGAATCTTCATTTTTTTGCAAAAAATCCTATTGTTATTATTAAGACAAATACTGTCTTTTGAAATACTACAGGGTCCAAAATAATGCTATACAAGAACAAATTTGATTTCTTTTAAGATGGAGTATTGGTAAATTCATTAATAAACAAGGCATTAACATGACATAATGTCACCATCTAAGCAGGTATCCAGAATCCGTACCTCCTTCTTCCCCCTGCTATAACCAATTTGTAAGCGCCCGATTAAACTGAATCACGTGATCTAATTATGCGCAATGACTTATATATGATTTCTGTCGCAGTGTTGCGACAGCCAATCAGATTGCGAGTTCTTAATCGGGGAAATGCTAACTGTTTATCACAGGGGAAAAAAGAAAGAAGTATTCTGGATTTTGAAGCCCTGTGATTGGAGGATGGTCGATCACCACCTATCTGCTCACAATATTATTAGTTTAATCTAAAGTCACATTTGAATTTCTGAGAACGAGTAGATGATTTTGAAAAAAATTGATCAATTTGAAGCAAGTCTTTTTGGTGGTGACATCAAAACGTTATGATTTGAAAATTACAAGACCACGTACCCGCTATGGCTCATTGGCAAAGCCAAGGTTACCACTATCGGGTCCCGGGCTTGATTCCCTGTTCAGACTTTGTTAGTGCATTATGTAATTCTGTTTGTTTGACTACTTGTAAGTCTGTGTATCGGTACACAGAAAAAAACTGTGGTTCCTCCAAGGAGAGGTTTCTGGCTCTGTCTTTGAGTGTAAATATGTAAAATATGGAAATATACCAATGCTCGCCAAAATATGGCAGTTAACAAAATACAATACAAAAAAAAGACAAATGAGAATTTTATTTCATATGAGGAGGGGAATTGGGCAAACAATAACGAATTATCATCAATTTTCCAAAATGGTCATCCTTTTGACACCATCCCTCTGAGTATATCACATTTAGAAGAGTGTTCTTATGTCATTGTTTTAATTATAAAGATACTATCTGTTATGTCAACTACAAAGGGCTATATCAATAATCATTCTTCCTGCAAATCAAAGTAACTATAGCAATGTTTCTCTATTGTGGCTATAATTGGAATATTTGATCGTGCTAGAATTACATTAGCAATCATTAACAAGTAACATTAAACAAATAATTTCTTTTACTCTGAACATTTGATTATTTTCAATAAAGAGATGTTCATCATAAATTCTGAAAGATGAATATTCACAATGTGACAATCAAATTAACATAAAGCTCCTTTTGAAAAAATAATCTGAAGAGTTGTTAAGATTCTTTACATCGACTCCGAGACCTGGGATAAGATGTCTAAGAAACTGCTGCTGATAACATTCTTTAGTTATTTCTTAACCTATTTAACACATGGAGGACAAACTGATGGGGAATTAAGGTGTGGAAATGGGCAACTGAAACACCCGAACATTAACAACTGTAAAACTAATGAGGATTGTCCAAATTCATTTGCATGTAAGATCCGTCGCAAGAGAACAGAATGTTGTCAGCATAAGATTCTTCGAAATTGTGAGCCGCTGATGGAAGATGACTATGTGCCGAAGATGTGCAAAACTGGAAATGAGACGTCAGCATGTCCACGGGGGTATATATGTAATGTTGCACGTAATAACAGGTACACTGTCTGTTGCAAGGAAGTTCTATGTAAAGATGCCACTGGAGGAGTGCACAAGCCAAATGATCCTAAATGGCTGAGCCGGGAAGATAGCTGTAACAGGTGTAGGTGTATGCCATCAGGAAGCATTAAATGCACTGATAAACCAGGTAACATTTTTATTAACCTTTCTATGTTTTTGAAACAATCCAAGAATCAAAGGCACATTTACTGCAGAGTTGTTCAAAGTTGTGATGTCACTTTATTTTATTTATTGCAAAACAAAAATAAATTCAATTCAACACGACATACCCCTCAATACCAAATCAATATATTCCACTTGGGCCAATAACAGAAATTTAAGAGGACGCACCATTAGTCTGAATCCCGTTGATCCGAAACCCACTCGTCCAAAACCCAATGGTTTGAATTTCATTGGTCCAAAACCCACTCGTATCTCCCTAATATATTTCTTTTTTATTAATTACAAATAACATTTTGGGAAATAAGGATTTATATGAATAGAATTCAGACCATTGGTTTAGGACAAATGCAATTTGAACCGACCAATGGGATTCTGATCAAGCTTTAATGAACACCATTTTTCTCAAAGGATTGGTATCGATATAGTGAACTGAATTCAACAATGTTTTTCTCTTAAACCAATTTTTGAAAAAATTCTGTAAAAAACATGGTCCTTCATGTAATGTTGACTGATTGACAACAATTCAATGCGAAAATAATTTATGTATATTTTATATAACTGTTTTTGTTAACATTTTTTATTTTCTAGTGCAATTGTTTTTTGTTCTTTTTTACCAATTCTTCAGAATAAACAAAATATTTTTCCGAAGCTTGTTGGAACAAAATTGCATTTACAACATTTTTTAAACCTCTCATTATTATAGTTATACAAAGGAAATTTTGGTTGATTGAAGAAAAAGTATTTAAAAAATTAAAACAAAAACCCCAAAAATAGATAAAAATTAAGATAAACCTTTTATTTCATTAACAAGATACTTTTTTTAATCAACCAAACTTTCTTTTGTACAATTACAATATTGAGAGACCTATACACGTTGTGTTTATGTCATTTTGTTCCAATGAGGTTCGGATAGATGTTTCACTTCATTCCGAATGTATGATACCAAGAACAAAAGAAGTGTCTGATGTGTTTTCTAAAACAATATAGACAAATGTATATTTATTTAAATTATATTGTTACCATTCAAAAGATGACCATTAAATTGACAATGTGTAAAATTTTCAGAATTGTTTGATGACTGGTTTAAGAGAAATGTGTGTTCAAAAAAAGTTCACCATATCCGTACCTATCCTTTTCCTGTAGAATCATTTACCATACCCATAAACCAAAACATTTTTGAATAAATTTATTACAAAAGAACAATGGAGTTATTCCTATACACATAAATGAACTCTTCACAATTAACATTTCAAATGTCAAAATGTAGATAACATTTCAAAAAGATGTCAGACATCATTTTGATATTTCTCATTAATAGTACTTCATGCATCATTGACATGTACAAGTATAAGTAATTTGTGAGACAATAGGGTATTTCTATTCATGTGAAGTCCTGACATAAAAGTTCAGTTCATATGACGAAATGATAAACTTTTATATGGTTTATTGTCTAATTGTCAATGTAAAGTGACTTGTTCAGAATAATCTTACTGACATTGAAAACTATTTATAGAAGTTCTGAAGTATGACTTGAATATTAAACTAAGATTATCAGGCAAATAAAAGTCATTGTATTTTAAGTTGTTAATGGTTTGAATACAATATCAAATATCTTTTTTATAGAATGTAGGATGAATATTGCCAAATGTATCAAGCCATGTCAGGGTAGGAAAGGTAAAGTGTTTTGATCAATATCAAATTAACAAACAGTTTTGCCATGTGAAAAACTGTAATATTTGTAAAATATGGTGAAGTCAAGATCTTGTAAGTTTAAATAAAAATATTGCCAAAAATAAAAAAGTGCCTAGACTTTCAATTATGTTGCATATTCAAAAACTTTGTACTCCAAGGAGCTATGCCTATATACAAGAATGAGCATAAATATTAACAATATGAAACTGTTCTTATATTTATGTTGTTACAGCAAATGTGTTGCACTATTATGTGTTGCATGGTAAGATTATTTGTTTTATTTTAACAAGGATCACCCAGCAGCTACTCCCCATGCGTAGACAGAAAATGTAGTATTAGAGCCAGGGTGAAGCCATGTCGCGGGAACTCAACCAATCAGAGTACTTGCTTAGATCATGAGATTGAATTCATTAGATGTAATGAAAACAAATGTCCAAGACCTGGTAGAAAACTAAAACAGAGATCAGAAAGTGTCAATTTGAGGATATTGGGAGGAGAAGAAGTTAAACCACGGCATAATTTCCCATGGGTTGTATCTCTTTATGAGATAGGATGTGGGGCATCTGTACTGAGCCCATCACACATCCTAACTGCAGGCCACTGTGTTAAAGACAGGAAAGAGATTGAAATTCTTACAGGCAAGCATGATATCTTCAAAATAGAAATATTTGAGCAGGTACGACTCGTTAAACAAAGTACCAGTAGACAAGAGAATTCTACTAGAACTGGTGAAGTTTTCATCCATGAGAACTACACCATATGGGATAACGACATAGCAATCATTAAAGTAGATCCACCATTAATTCTTCACCGATGGACACAACCAGCTCTTCTGCCAAAAGATGGCTCTGATGAAACCTTCACTCTGGGGACAAGTGGCCCTGGGGCACATTGTAAGATAGCTGGATGGGGGTGGGTGAATCAGACTGAGGGGAGTGACTCAGATGTGTTGCTAGAAATGGACTTGAGAGTCCAGGCAGAATGTGATCTCCCACCTGCAGATCTGTTAGATGTTACAGAAAATGCATTCTGTGCAGCTAAAGATGAGAAGTAAGCAACATAAAATAAGATTATAAGGATATAGTTAAAATCATAATTCATAATAATAAAAATGTTACTAGTGCTAGTACTAGGTTTATCCCTTGGAAAATATGTTTATCTCGCTTTGTCATTCATGACATATTTCAACTGGATTTTCTATTGTTTACAGTTCAGCTGTGTGTTTTGGTGATTCTGGAGGGCCATTCATGTGCTCTGAGGATGGCGATAAATGGGTCCAATATGGTATCATAAGTTGGGGACTGAGCATGTGCGGACGTTCAACAGTTTATATGAAAACTACAAAGTATCTTGATTGGATAAATGACAAGATAGCTACAGACGGAGGCTGGGGGAAGTTCAGTTCTTGGACTGAGTGTCACCCTTGCCCCAGTGGAACTATGTCAAGAATCAGAGTATGTACTAGCCCTGAACCAATAGGAAATGGTGTCTGCCCAGCTGGTATTGGACTGGTATATAAAGACAAAGAAACTGATTTTATTGTGGACCTTCACACAGTGGCTTGTAATTGTCAGATATAAAATATCCCAATGTGTATAATATAAAATGAGAAATGAAAATAGTTGTTGGTCTGTCCTATGTTAACATTCTACCATTTCAGAATGTACATGTACATTTATGGTATGGCTATTCACTCTACCTTCAGAGACAATACCTGTGCATGTACATGAATTCTTTTTGAACACTATTCAACCTTAAGAAATAATCTATAAAAGGAATACAAAGAATGACATAAAATAACAAGTAAACGGCAATAAAATGACAAAAGTGACAAAGAAAAAATGTGTATGCTCCAGGTACATATTTCTGTCAAATCATGAATAGTAGACTTTGTAGTGAGTAGTACTGCCAATTCATTTTGCAAAAAAAATTATGTCATCTCAAATTTGCCATATAGAAAAAACAGGCCTAAAACAGTGCGTTAATACAAGCTCACATTACAGCAACTCCACAGAGTAGCAAATCCCACCAAACAAAACATATTTTTGATAATAAACAGAGCAGAGCAAATGGGTCCTAAGGCATCAGCATATAAAATTCGAACCAAATCCATTTACTGGTATTTGCATTATCAAAGATTATATTTTTTACGAAAAATGGCGGCCATTTTGAATTTCAGCAGCCATCTTGAAAATTGCTTCTTGAGCAAAGCTCCTTTGTCCCTAGGCATCAGAATATAATATTTGAACCAAATCCATCAAGTAGTATTTGAATAATCATAGATTACATTTTTTACAAAAAATGGCAGTCATTTTGAATTCAGAGGCCATATTGAAAATTCCTTCTTGAGCAGAGGTCCTACACCCATAAGCCTATAAAGTTTTAATGAAAACCATCAACCGGTATTAGAGTTATCACCCGGAACCAAGAACGAAAATATTTTGCATTGTATGAAAAGAATTTAAGCCCAAGACTAGATGATTTGTGGCATATTCATTCCACTCAGGTGTTACAGTATTTGATGTCCACATAGCAGCTCAGCCCAGGCTTAAATCAATCAAAAGTTCAAATCAATGACAGATGCTACTGAATTCCTCTAGTTTCTAGTTAAGCATGTCTTACCTTCGCTGTTTAGGATTCAAAGCGAATCTGTACACAAAGCTGAGAATATAGTACAGCCCACAAAACAGCAAGAAGTCAGCCCAAACCACCTTGTATATGCTTCCCTTCCATCTAAAAATACAGAGAAACACTTTAACAGGGCTGGACTTAAAATTGTTACAGAACACAGTAAAAAAAGAAAACATCTAAGAGTGCACCAGTCATAAGGAAAACAAACCCCAACTATCCCGAGTCATAATCCAAAGTGAAAAGAAACAATGTTTAGTATAACTGTGAAAGAAATTATGGTCCCCCAGAGATTATGGTCCCCCTTTTTAACGGCCCTTACTGGCCCTGATTGTGTATAAGATAATAAGGCAAAGAGGCTACCATATAAATCAATGGAGAGTAGGACCATAATGTAATAGGAACCCCTACACGTTTACACCACCCCTCCACCATTCAAATACTACAATCACAATTTTAGACCATAATACCAAGGGACATTTCATTCATACTGAAGTTATCAGATGGGTGAACAAACAGGTACATGTAGGTGTATTTAAGAAGGGTATGATACGATATAGAAATGGGGGGGGGGGGGTAATTGGAAAAAGCTTTTTATACATACCTTGCAAGTAGTTTCCAGAAACAGCCGAATTTACTAGTTGCAACCTGGGCAGTATATGTAACTGTCATAGTAGTACAATAATCTCAAACCAAAATCAATTTATTGTCTCCAATTCAGTTGGGGCAAGGAGCTTCCATGGTATCTCTTTGTCATATGATATTAACATGTAACTGCTTTACACTGGCTTTTAGTGAAGTGAAATCTTAAGATTTGACAGTTGTTTCTGTATTCGTGTAATCTTTACAAAGATTGTGGCAATTTGAGAAAGTTCTACAGGGGGTATGCATTATTTGAAACATCAAAACTTGGGGTACTTGAATGCACAATCATTTTACTTGTTCAATCCACTTGTATTGCAGAATGAGTGTTGGTTTGCACTATTGATCTATGGTATCATTGATTTTGCCAATATATTCAGGGATTCTTTGATAAAGATTGTTGCGTAGATTGTTGCATCGGGCCAATCAGTTGAGATCTGCATGCATCTGAAAAATAAGTCAATTTTCAAGGTATTATGGAATCCAAAAAATTTCAACTTTCAAATGGTAATATAGAATCCTGTAAGCATAGAGAAAGCCAATAAATTTGGATTTGGATGATTGGGATTCGGACTAATGGCATATCGGACGATTGGGATTAGACCAAAATGGTGTACTGTCCTCAAACATGTACCATAATCCCGGGGGGGGGGGGGGGGGGGGTTCACTGTATATAAACCTTGGCGGGGATCCTCGGCGCACATGGGGTACCTTTTTGGACATTTGGTATGGCAATGGACCCAAATTTTAGGATGTGGTAATGTGGTATGAGAATGCCCCCATGGAAATGGTCAGCTTTTTCAAGTTTCTGGTATGAGAATGGTCATGGAAAATATGTTATCTCACAATTATGGTATGGAATTGGTCTAGTAGTTACACATATCCTAATATGAGGTTGTTTTGGTTCATTTTCCTCAAAGATCGCCTTCTTCTTGGGACCTTCTTCAGTTTAAATAAATAGCTTTTTTCCCAGGAAATATTCTACTTTGGACCAGTCATGGCATTGGTATGGCATTGGTCCTATATTTTGACATTTGGTATGGCATTGGTTTCATATTTGGGCATTTGGGATGGCTTTTGGGCACTATATTGGTTGGTATGGGAACACATTCAAATTTGACATTTTGGTATGGGAATATATTGATATCTGAGGGTTCAGCCTAGAACCCCTGCCAAATTTTGTACACAGTGAACCCCCCGGGACCATAATATACTTCAAAGCATTTCTAGTAAAAGCTGAGACTTACATAAGCGTTTATGTTAGTCTCAAGTCAGTTCGAGCAAATCCCCCCTCCCTTGGCCAAAAATTATTTCAAAACCATGCCATATTTTGGAATGTACTAAAAACCCTTCGACCCTTCAACCCTGCAACCTACGACTTACAGCGTGTCAAGAATTTTTGAAATATATTTTTATAAAAACCCTTCGACCTTCTAGATATTTCTCAGTCCATATCAAGTTGCTGGAAATGTTACTTTGTGTATAGAACTTAAGAATCTGTCCCAAGAGAGTTAAAGATATTTAAAGCTGGACTTCGATCGGAGCCGGCGATATGATTTTGGAAAGGTTTCTAAATGAAGAACGTGACGTCACTTCCGAATCATAGCATTCAAAATAAGTAGCGTTTAATTACTCCCACCATTCATAATATCACGGTGGAGTAGCGGTAGAATGCTCGCTTAGCACGCGGGAGGCCCGGGTTCGAATCCCGCAATCGCCTTTTTATTTTTTTTAACTAAGTGATTGTTCTTTGGCATTACGCAGATAATTTTTTTTTATTTACATAAACTTTATATTAGAGCTTGAAAATGTAAAAACAATATTATATGTCAACATATTGCGTTTTGGAGCGATGTGCAGGTTTAATGTATTCAAGCACATTCAAATGTGAACGTTTCTTACCTCCTCAGTAAAAATATTTGTGCTTTTCCCATCACATTGTAACAGTGGCGCATCGTGCATATTTTCAGGAGGTCAAATTTTTTATATAGTTTAAAGAGAACCGTCTTTTGATTTTATCAACTTTGATTCAATTTGGATTTGTATAGTTAAGAATCTAATGCCAACTAAATAAGTAGATTCTTTGTTTTGCATCCTACAAAATCCAAAGCATGCAAGGGTACAAGGAAAATAAACACAAACTCAAGAAAAAGCTTGCAAGCTAGGTCATATCAGGTTCGTATAACCAGCTTTTGCCAATTTAAGTTTTTCAAAAGGATCAAGGGGTGAACATTTGTCAATTTTCAAGTGGCCCAGAAATCTTGAAAATGCTCAGAATCGTGAAAAATTGTACTGATTTTGAGAGAATATTTGGCCAATGGAGTGGTCCACTTGAACCCACGAATGTCCCCCCTGAATATATACAGTTTAAGGGCATAAAGGTTATTACAAACACATCTATACAACTATATTTATTAGACATAGATATGAAACATTTCAGAACTAGATAACAGCAACACGAGGTAGAGCAAATCCCATCGAACTTTTGATCTCAAAATCGTTCAACTACTTTTCAAGTTTTAGTAAAAAAGTAAAATAAGACTTTAAAATACTGTAGAGGCTTACTCACTTCGAGAGCCATGTTAGATTTTGAAACTTATGGCTCTCAAACGGAGAAGTGGACAGCTCATCGATTGTGACCTTTGAAATCGAATTAAGTCGATCAGCGGCCTACTTTTGTTGTCTAACTGTGTCTTACATCAGTATCATCAATCCGTGTAAGTATTGGAGCGCTGGAGTACTTCTTTTTCGATCAAGACTTGTAAATTGTTCATCGAGTGAAAGTTTTTTAGACCTATTTCCAATATGGCGGTTTGCTAGGTGCAAGATATGCAATGAACGAAATGAATTTTGAGAATTAGTTAGGTTCGGACAACCTCCGGAGATTTACGAAAATGTCCGAGCAGAAACCGCCATATTGGAATTTGGCAGTAAAACGATTCACTCGACTAACAATTACAAGTCTTGATCGAAAAAGAAGTACTCCAGCGCTCCAATACTTACACGGATTGATGATACTGATGTAAGACACAGTTAGAGACCAAAAGTAAGCCGCTGATCGACTTAATTCGATTTCAAAGGTCACAATCATTGAGCTGTCCAAATGCTCCGTGGGAAAGCTATTATATCAAAATCAGAGCTGTCAAGTGTCCTGCGAATGGCGGGATTATCCCGCGAATTCGATCAAAATTAGGCTAATTCGCGTGTCCCGCAATGTCCCGCGAAGTCCCGCAAATGTGGCTTTCGACCTCCGCGAATTTCCGAAATTGTTGGTGATTATCTTATCTTATATAAGAAGCTAAGTTTTTGCACTTTTGAGGAGTAAAGTTTACCTAATTTTAAGTACCTAGCATGCTGTTGTTTGGTATCAAAATAAAGAGGAAGGGTTCAACTTTCATTTTAATTACGACAATAGGGATGTAGGTCACAAATAGTTCCAACGTTGGCCTTTTTACTATCCGTGTGGCCTTCATCTCAGAACTGAGCAAATGTTAGCAAACGCGAGTTACAATAAATGGACGCTGATATCTAGAAAGGGTTTGTAGAAAAAAACGGGTACCGGGTAGTAAATCCTCCATGCTGGGTTCAAACTTGGTACCCGGTCAAAAAACGGGTACCCAAAAAATGAAAAATACGAATATACGAGTATAACATAATTAGATTATCAGAAAACGTGTAAGATTTGTTTTGAATTTACAAAAATGTATGTAACATCCTTCAAAATTGAGCTAGAAGCTTCAAATAAAAAGCATATTTTAAGGCTCTTTTCTTCCTCTATCGTCATGACCATATTTTCATTGGTTATGTTCACGTTCCAACATACGAACTCATTGAAAATAGAGTAAAATTGATTTGTCTTGTTATTCAAATCGTCTTACAATGTCATTGGCATAGCCAGGAGAGGGTGTGATGGTGCGATCGCACCCCCTCTCCCTTCATTACCAATGGAAATATGACCATGATGATAGAGGAAGAAAAGAGGCTTAAAATGCTTTTTATTTGAAGCTTCTAGCTCAATTTTGAAGGAAGTTACATTTTTGTAAATTCAAAACAAATCTTACACGTTTTCTAATGATCTAATTATGTTGTATATTCGTATATTTCGTTTTTTGGGTACCCGGTTTTTCGACCGGGTACCAAGTTTGTCTACGTAAATTTTATTTATATTATTAATTGCATTACATTTACATTACATTGCATTACATTTTGAACCCAGCATGGAGGATTTACTACCCGGTACCCGGTTTTTTCTACAAACCCTATCTAGAAAAGTAACATCATTCCCTATAATTTGATGTAGATTAATCGAACCCCTATATCATGGGCTTTCAATTGAAAGCCCATGCCTACAGTATGGTAGTATTTGGTCACGACGCCAGAAGCAGAGAAGTGCAAAGTATTGTTCCAAATTTTTGAATTTCGTGTTAGATTACGATACTCACACCTCAAGCATGGTTTTTGTTTTTGATAAATTACAATAAAGTTTAATAATATTTCTATGCGTATTTTGTGAAATTATGTTGACGTTTATTTAAGTTACAATGTAACGGTGCATTATATTTGATTAATCAGTATCTGAAAGTTTGATTCAAGTACTTTTACACGCTTTTACATTAGTCCAAATCACGCAAATCCCTTGAATGTCCCGGGACATACTGCAAATTTAGGTGGATGTCCCGCGAAATCCCGCAAATTTAGGGCACTTTTTCTATAAAATCTGTCCCTCTATGAAGTTTTTGCTGGTAAGCCTGTTAACTGTCCCGCAATTAGGGTGTTTGTCCCTCGAATGGTCCCGCGAAATCACGCGAATTTGATAAAAAAAATTGGCCTATAAGCGCAATCACGCAAATCCCTTAAATGTCCCGCGAAATCCCGCGAATTTAGTAGATGTCCCGCAAAATCCCGCGAATTTTGGGCACTGGGTCTAAAAAATCTGTCCCGCGAGAAAATCTTTGGGGGTTGACAGTACTGCAAAATCCAAATAGCTTTCGCAGAAAGTAAATAGAGGCCACTTTTCAAAATGGCCACCTGGCCAATGTGCCATGCTTATGAGTATCAACATACTAGGGGGGTAGGGACGAAAAATTTCGAACGCAATGCGTGACATATACGTAATTCGCGTGAAAAGTCCGAACGAAATGCGTACGTTTTTTTTCGGCGTTCGTATTTTTGCTGTGTAGACGAACTTTTTTAGAAATTTTTCTACTGAAACATTTTTGCTTGACAATTACCAGGTAAAATGCGTATTTGCGTGCACAGGGAGCTCAAGTTGGAACTATACGTAATCATTTAGTAAACTGGACTGGGAAATCAGAGGTCGAAGGGTTTTTCAATAAAATATATTCCAAAAATTCTTGACACCCAGTAAGTCGTAGGGTTGAAGGTCTAGGTCGAAGGGTTTTTAGTACATTCCCCATATTTTACCATTCTGAGTAGTTCAACGTCGTTAAACTCAATAACCCCAGGCTCAGGCTAGGTCTAATGTTGTTGGACTACATTCTGAGCAATTATCAAGTGATTTGGGGCGAAAGTTGTCAAATGTGTAAATAATGTGGGGTGTTTGATCCTTCTGTCCTTGTAGGGTAGATATACCCCTACCTCACATCCATGGGGTATAATGGAGCTAAAGACCTATATAATTTAAATTTTAGATCTACATTGTAGGCCTAGTCCATGCTAAGCTTACAGATTCGATTTTCAAATTTATAGTCTGACTGAGTCTGAGTTTCAGTCACCACAGCACAGCGAATCTCTCACATGCTATCTATTGCAAGACTAACGCCTGGTGTAACCGTCACCATGTTATTCGGTGTTTTTTAAGTAGCGCAAGGATCCTGCCATGACCATGGCAGTGTTATTTTGTAAGCCTGGTATAACCGTGACAACGCTGTATTATATTGCAAGGCCTGTCATGACCATGAGTGTTATCGTGGAAGCCTGGTGCAGCCGTAGCCTTTACGTTTAATTTAAGAATTTTTTATTGTTGTTTGTTAAGCGATTTGTTTACTATCCACTTTTAAATATTCGTATATTTGTATATTTTACCAGAGACATTATATGTTTCTGTCTTTATGAATGTTGACCCAAGCTGCCCATGACCGTGATAATGTTAAAGCCCCATATGACCGTGACAATGGTTGCAAGGCCTGTCATGACCGTGGTAATGTTAAAGCCTAATATGACCGTGACAATGCTTATAAGGCCTGTCATGACCGTGGTAATGTTAAAGCCTGATATGACCGTTACAATGCTTGCAAGGCCTGTCATAACCGTGACAATGCTATATTATATTGCAAGGCCTGTCATGACCGTGGTAATGTTAAAGCCTCGTATGACCGTGACAATAGTTCCAAGGCCTCTCATGACTGTGGTTGTATTTAAAGTAGCATGAGAACACTGTAATGACAATTTTTCTTCGTGTTTAACTACCTTAAATATGTAAATAAAGACTACTAAAAATGAGTATTAATTTCACAACGAAAACCTAATTTTTACTCATAAATAATTTGCAAACAAACTATATCTCTACTCTCATTCAAGGAGCTTCGATTCGAAAGCATATACTTTCTATAATGATCAATTAATAAGATTTATCCATAAAAAATACCAACAGCAATGGGCAAAACATGAAGGTCATTAATGTCATATAAAGGATGCGGTCGCGCCTTACTCACTTCGAGAGCCATGTTAGATTTTGAAACTTATGGCTCTCAAACGGAGAAGTGAACAGCTGATCAATAGTGACCTTTGAAATTGAATTAAGTCGATCCGCGGCTTACTTTTGGTCTCTAACTGTGTCTTACATCAGTATCATCAATCCATGTAAGTATTGGAGCGCTGGAGTACTTCTTTTTCGATCAAGACTTGTAAATTGTTCATCGAGTTAAAGTTTTACAGACCTATTTCCAATATGGCGGTTTGCTAGGTGCGAGATACGCAACGAACGAAATGAATTTTGAGAATTAGTTAGGTTCGGACAACCTCCGGAGATTTACGAAAATGTCCGAGCAGAAACCGCCATATTGGAATTTGGCAGTAAAAGGATTCACTCGACTAACGAATTACAAGTCTTGATCGAAAAAGAAGTACTCCAGCGCTCCAATACTTACACGGATTGATGATACTGATGTAAGACACAGTTAGAGACCAAAAGTAAGCCGCGGATCGACTTAATTCGATTTCAAAGGTCACGATCATTGAGCTGTCCAAGTGCTCCGTGGGAAAGCTATTATATCAAAATCCAAATAGCTAAAATCCAAATAGCTTTCACAGGAAGTAAGTCGCGCCAGGCTTACACGATTACACTACCACGGTCATGGCAGGCATTTTAATATAATACAGCATTGTCGCGGTTATACCAGGCTTTCACGATAACATTACTACGGTCATGGCAGGATCCTTGCGCTACTTAAAAAACACCGAATAACATGGTGACGGACGCCAGGTGTTAGTCTTGCAACAGATAGGGTCTCGAATCTCTCATTTCAGTGATTTCACTGTTGATTTTTATCAATGCATGTACATCCAGCTTATGTAAAATATGTGTTTTTCAAATTAAATCAATCTAAACACATGAAATATATCTACTATATCATATTATAGAAGGAACTTGCTAATTATATTTCAAAATATTTACCTTTCTCTGTCCAGATACGAAACTACGTCATCCAGCAAAGCTAGAAAACTCAACTTCCGCTTAGAATTTTTTCTCAAAAAAAGTCATTGTTTTGTCGATTTATTTCAAAGAGGGCCTTCAATTACCCCAATATTGTACATATTGAGATATAGATGTAAGTACTCATTTGATTTTAACTGTTATTGATAGAGAACGCTGATGTTAGTAGACAATTTTATTATTGCCAATATTTGCTATTATTTTCAAGTCCACCATCACTCTTTCAGACTCAGCCTCATGGTTTACAGTCCGAATCACTTTTTATGAGTCAGTCAAATAAAAAACTAGCAATAAAGGAATAAAGGACCAAAGTGCAATGATATGGAAAGACACATTTACAGGCCGTCCAACTGTCCGGCAATTTGCATACTTGTCACGCATTTGATGGAGAAATTGAAGTCACAGCCGTTTTTTGCATGACAAAATATTCTGTCACATAAACACTTATTTTTCTGATTATTGTCAAGCAAAAATACTTCAGGAGAACAAAAAAATGAATGCAGTTTGCGTATATGGCACACATTTGCTTCAAATTTTCTTACTGGGGGCATTCACAAATTCCATGACACTCTTAAACTTTTTGAAGACTACACCACATTGACACAATTGGCTTTAAAGGACTCTGAGGACTACCAGGAACGTGTAATATAGCATGTAGCATCTCTCAAATGCGAGATCTACAGTGTGTCTCAAAAAAAATGTTACACTTACAAAAAGTTCAATATCTTTCATGATTTTGACTTTTCCCCTAAAATATACTTGGATACTAAAAGAGCAGCCTTTCTTCAATAAATCCACACCATCTGATTCAAAATCCGTCCATGATTGGCTGCACAGGACTGATTTTATAGACGCATGTGAAATTTGATTTGCGCCAATTTCTCAGTGGTTGGACAGGTGGTGGTCAATTCTTTTTTGGTGTGAATGCTGTGGACAGTGATATCTTGATATGATCAATGATTCAGTTAGTTTTTTTCCTGGATAGAAATACAACATGTCATTGTCAAAGGTTCAATTTCGTTACGTATGATGGCAACAGGATGGTGCAAAGGCCTGTGGCAGATCGTTTTGGTAGAACTCTTTGGAAATCAGAAGATAGCATTGAATTACCCGCCCTCAGGCCTACTTTACACCCTTGATTTTTTGAAGGGCCTCTGAAAGCGCTTTACAGCATCACAAACTAACCTAAATGAACTTCTACAAAATTAATTGATGGAATCAGTATGATATTACAATGCATGCTCGCATGGGCAAGGGTACCTCAGATCCTCAGATTTGCTGTCACATTCAACATGTTGGGGGGACCACATGTTTATGTGGATAGACCCAATGACCATATGTAAGACAAATAGGAAAATTACAGAATGACTCAGTTAAAGGTCAAGCTTCTGCTCAGAAGAAAGTTACCTGTTAAAGAAACTGTTCCTCTTTTGTCATTTGGTCCATCCAATCACTTAGTAGTTGGCGCAAGTCAGATTTTACTATGGGACACTAAAAGCTGTCCTATCAAGCCAATCAAGGACAGATTTTGAATCCGATGGTGTCAAATTATTCGGGAAAGATTTGTCTTTTGGTATCCAAAGTATATTTTAGGGGGAAAGTCAAAATTATGATAGCTATTGAACTTTTTCTAAGTGTAACATTTTTTTTGAGACACTCTGTATAGTAACACTGATGAAAGCGACATAGAATAATTAAAATCTAACAAAGGGTTCAAGAGTTGCTATAGCCTTCAGAACATTGACGTTCAGTGGTAAAATAGTTTTCCATATTAATAAGGAAATATGAAATTTCAAGTTATTTATTTTCTACCATGCCAATTGTACATCCAAAACATGTACTGGGAAATAATATGTCAGAGTAAGACACTCAATTTACCCGACTGCTAAAATAAAAGCAACAAAGTCATGTATCAGTAATTTTTGTGAAATACCTTTTTGTTCCACATGTACATAGTTGTAACACTTTAAGGCAGCATAATGGCCACTTGTTGTTACTTTCCTTCAAATGGTACTTCAAATGGCACTTTCACTTTTTGTCCTCATACTAAAACATTTGTTTTTAGATCATCAGTTAAAAATTTGTTTTTCATAGCAAAAATGAGCGAGAAACAGACCCCTAGCAATCTATTAGAGCAGTTTGTTCTACTGGCAAAGTCAGCAAAAGGTGCAGCAGCAGTTGACCTTGTGAAACAAGTCTTGGAGACCCCTGGAGTTTACGTCTTTGGGGAATTGCTTGATATGCCAAATATACAACAGGTAGGAAAGTGGAAAATATTTGCAGTTATACTAAAATTTATAAATCAAGAATACATTGTCATCGTTCATTTCTGTGATATATTTAACCAATCAGGGTCATAGTCAGGATCCACAAATAGGTGAGGCAAATTGTAATAGAATATTACAGTTCTATGTGACATCATTTCAAGTTTCAGACAAAAAACATGGTGACAGGTCATCTCAACCCAGTAAAACTCAACCCCACTAAAACTCAACCCCCACTAAAACTCAACCCCCACTAAAACTCAACCCCACTAAAACTCAACCCCCAGTAAAACTCAACCCCACTAAAACTCAACCCCCACTAAAACTCAACCCCACTAAAACTCAACCCCAGTCAATCTGAACACCTCCCAATCTGAGTACATGTACTCTTTTCAGTCCCATTTTCTCCCATGACTCCTTTGTTAAAAAATGTTGAAATGTGAACACCTCTCAATTTGAACAGTGAAGAGTCATATTTGAAAAATTAACCTGTCTATTCTGATCACTTTTCACAAAATATCACATGTTTCTTACAAAGTTGCTCAAACATTTTCAATTGAAAATTGATTTGTTTTGATATCATTTATTGTAATAATAGTTTTACAATGACAATATGATACTTTGCAGATGTGAAAATATAAGGTGTAGATACTTTGCAGATGTGAAAATATAAGGTGTAGAATGCATGCAGAATTGATGTTAATAGAAATACTTTTACTTTCAGTTGTCTGAAGGCCCCAACCAAAACATTGTGAACCTCCTTAACATATTTGCCTATGGAGTGTACAATGACTATAAAAGTAAGTACAATGACTTTAAAAATTGAGTTTAATGAATAAAGATTTAAGTGCAATGACTAAAGGAAATATAATGACTAAAATAAGTACAACTTCTATAAAAGTGAATATTATTACTATAAAAGTTCACTAACTATATAAATATATATGTATTAACTATAAAAACTTGTACAATGACTATTGATGTGAGTACAAACTTTCTTTTGAGAAATACAGAACTTTTAAAAAAAAATCTAGCCAAAAACAAAGGCAATTTACCGTAATTTCTCTAATGAGCACACAGTTCCATTGAATGTATATGCAACTTTTAGATTGAATATGGTCTCAAAAATATGAAGTTGAAGGCTAACTTTTTTCTAACTTTTGTATGTGTGCTAATTGGAATCTCAATATCTTACCTTTCTAAATTTCAATTTGGAAATTGCACTGTGCGCTCATTAGAGAGAATATGGTATATTTTCATTACCTTGGTAACATATCCAGCAATATGCAATTTATCATATTAGCTGTCTGTCATACTCATTTATCTTGTCTGTTCGATTGATACAATATATCGTTAATATTGGGGTCAAAGATGTACATACATGCCCGTAGCCAGGGGGATTCGACCAAATATTCTTTCAAAATCATGCAGTTTTCACCATTTTGAGCACTTTACAAATGGTTTTGAGCCCAATTTTTCTAATTTTAACCCCCTAGAATTCTTTAAAAACTGAACCCCCTTGGCAAAAGCTGACATATAATTTATTATAAGGTATATGTACAGTATATAGCTTTGCTTTAGAGGTGACATGTCTGTGTGTGTATGATATTTTAGGTAACAAAGCCAACCTTCCTGATCTCACTCCGAAAATGCTAAAGAAATTAAGACAATTGACAATAGTGTCATTGGCCACACAAAAGAAGGTAAGCATTTCAACAAAATATAAGATATACTATGGCTACTTGATAATTTGATGTTATACATAAATAATAATGATAATTTATATGTTATATGTAAAAAATAAAACATACATGTTCCATGTAGCAACATTCAACAGTATGAAAAATATTTGTCCTGGATGGCTTAGCCTTATTGTGAGAGTCAATCAGAGGATTTATACATTATTTTAGGAACCTGAGAACTTCAAATTTTTTGTGGAGACTTTTATATTTTTGACTGAAATTAGCCTCTCTGTATGCCATTTTTATATATTCGTTTTATGTATTATGATTAATGTGAAGAGGTTTTATTAAAATTTCTGATAAAATGCGAAATGAATGATATCCCTGGAAGGAAAATCTCCAGTCATCTAATGATCTATGGTAACTGTACGGTGGCTGCAGCTTGCCCAAATTGAGAGAAATATGGAGCATAAAATATAGGAATAAGCACTACTATGATTTTTTGTATTGAATTTGTGAAGCTACATCCACCAGAGCAAATGTAACTGAGACTTTAACTTACTTTGCAGTGTATACCGTATGCAATTCTACAGCAAGAATTGGAGATGTCAAATGTCAGAGAACTTGAAGACTTAATAATAGAAGTGGTGTATTCAGATATTGTCAGAGGAAAATTAGATCAGAAAAACCAGCGCCTAGAAGTGGATTATGCTATTGGAAGGGATGTCAGAGCAGAGCAGGTCAATGACATTGTCACCGTGCTCTCAGAGTGGTATGTTTTGATCATTTTTTATTATGTCCCTACCAGAAAGCAATGACATATTGTTTAGTCTCCATTTTTTGTTATGGCATTCTTCAGTTGGTTTTTGGTGTTCAGTGATTGACAGTTGTTGATCTGTGGTGGCAGGTGGTGACATTTTGCATGTTAATGCCTTATTTGCATTTGACATTGTAATCTTGAACATACAGGTAAAGACCAAATACATATTTCCTGTTAATTTCACCCAACTTTTCTAATAATCATCAACATTAAAATCAAAATAATATTGATATTGGAAATCTTTAGTCTGTTAAGCTACATCCAATATCCATTACCTGCAGATTTCATAATGAATCTTATACTAATTCCCCTCATTTACAAAGTGATAACAATTTATTTTGGATATGAAATTAAATGTCTGGTCCTTAACCCAAGTAACATTAGTCAAGTAATTTGCTGAGTAAGAACTATCTGAAATTTTTTTTGAATGAACTCTTCTCTCACATGTGATGCTGTTCTTATGATATTAAGGATGTTCCCTGGTCAGATAGGAAAATATTCAATAGTATTTAACTTTTTCTCAAAAATGGTTTTCTGGGATTCTCACGGGCAACAAAGAATATTAAAACTTTAAAAACCATATGTTAGTGTGCTTTTTTCTGAGCAAGAGGCCTCTAAAGTGTCAATATTTGACAAAAGTGGGCGTGGCACTTTCTCATTGAAACCCATGTTAAAAATCAGGTTTTCACCCCAAAACACACTTTTGAATATTTAACTTTTTCTTAAACTCACAGAAACACTTAGTTATGCTATGTACTTCACATTTTTAAAAGAAAAATTAGGGGTTGGTGTTCATCGTTTTCAACTTCGTCCAGGGAACATCCTTAAATATTAATTTTTCATACATTTAGGTGTTCAGGCTGTGAGGCTGTTTTACAAGGCATAGAGACTCAAGTCAACAGAGCAAACACAAACAGAGAGAAGTCAATCCAACAAAAACAAAAGGTCGAGATAGAGGTAATGAAATAGAGATAACATCCTCTTCATCAAAATTTAAATTGATATAAAAATAATAAATACACATAATTTATGATATTTATAATGGTGGCTATTAATTTAGACATATTTGGAGTTCACGTATATACATGCAGATATTTCGTTTTAAGTCTTTCAGAGTGCAGCTTATTGTGACCAAATTTATTCTTAGTGTGTAGCTGGATGCATTGACATTTTGAATCTTGGTTGTTAAAAAATGATATCCTCAGTATTTCATCATACCTTTTGAAGCAAGTACAAGAGTATGTGGGAATCAGTGAAAAGTAAAAATATCCACCAGTATTTCGGCACTTCAATATCGATTGCTAACCTTGTTTCAAAACAAAATCAGGGACTGTTAAATTATAAAACCTTAACATCTTCAGGTTGCCAACATTAAGAAGACATTAAAGGCCACACAACAGACAGATATGGACGAAGCTGACAGTAGAGAGGTTATTGCACAACTAGACAAACCAATGAAAAAAGCTTCAAAAACAAAAGGGTATGTGCTACAATATTGATTACTGCAATTGAGGTTATTTAATGGGAGGGGTGGAATATGAATTTTATTTTGAGGGAAAATATGATATTGTCCAAGGAAATTATCCTATTGACCAAGGGCGACGGCTATATATTCCTGTATAGCCGCCAAACTTTTTACCATGGCAATCCTATGGCGTCATGTTCCATTTCTTCCAAATTTCACGCGCACACAGACGTGTGACGTCATTGATATAACATAGCCATGGAAGGTATTATTTGAACATGTTGAACACAATTTGGATATTTACCTTTCAATAATTTGATGTTTCTCCCTCCTTAAATGTCAGTACATACTGAAAGTCAGTATGTTCATAACTGAAAGTTTACTGAAAATTATGGACCAGACTGCACATGTCCAGGATGAGAGCTGAATTTAGAAAAACACAAAGGAGGGGGAGTTGTTTGTTGAATGAATCGGGGGAGTTTTATTATGCATTTCGCTTATGTTTTTCATCCAAAAAACATCAATACACTTTTAAATATTTTATTGACTATTCTATTTCATTCGACAAACAACTCCCTCTCCTTTATTGCCCCTATACAAATACATTTTGCTTCTCAAAAATAACATTTATGTTCCAGATTACGTGGGAGTGGAAAATTTTGGGGAAAATCATCCAGCTGAGACCTGAACCTGTGTTGGACTTTATATGTTAGACAATTCTAGACTCATTCCTCAGAAAAAGGAGAACATAAATTTAACATGAGATGTGAGACATGTTGCTGCAGAGACAATTCTAGACTCTTTGAAACAGACCTACACAGCATGGACTACATTATACTTGCCGTCATGTTAATTGGAATTCATATTATAAAGTTTCACTTGCTACCTTGTGTTGTACCTTTAGGTGTTGATGCTCTAATCAGTGCTTTATGAACATGAACATGATTTGGTTAAACTATTGTTAATTGGAAAACAGATTCATCCCAATAGGAATGGGGGTCTGTTAAAATCAATGTGTACATAATTGTAGTACTATAGCTAGTACTGATGTATATTGTATCAAGTTAAAAGTAAAATCAGGTTTTGTTAAGTACATGATAATATTAATTGAGATCTAGAAAATACAGTTTTTATATATAAAGATTATATACTATAGTATTTGTTGATGGCTAGATCATGAAATGTTTTATTTTTAGGAGATTCTTTTGGCAAATGCCAAATTATTAGCTTGAAAAGTATTTTACTCAAAATAAGTTAAAAAAAACAACTTTCAATATGTTACTGTTGTTTATTTATTCCACTAAAAAAAGAATAGCAATAGAGTCCATCCATTTAGGTTGTTATTAAAAACCATTTGACAGGTTTGGTCCAAGGACAAATATTTTTTATAAAATCAGATATTTTTACTTTAACTTAAATACTGGTGGAATTATGCATATCGAATGTGAATGCGATGAACCGAACACCTTTTTGAAAAAAATATAGTAATACAGATCGGTATAGCACAAGAACTGACCAATCAGAGGGCTTCATTTTATAGATGATACGATAATAAATGATACAATCCTAATGTGTCAATATGAGCAGTAGTATGAATAATGCAAAAGGTATGGGATAGGGATAATTTCAAAGAAAAGTGACCAATTTATTAACCCATCTGGTATATAGCTGCAACTTTCAATCAATGTTGATTTACAAACCAGAAAACATAAAATTGAATTTGGTTTTGTTAAATATCATAACTTTATTGAGATCTAGAAAATACAGGTTTTATAGTAAAGATTAACTACAAGATTGGATACATTCAAAATGTACATCTTAACTACTTTTTATATACAAAATATTGAAATATGAAATAACAAAGAATATGGCAGAAAATGGCTGATGCATCCTCATTTAGAGCTAAACATTTTGTATTGCAAAATGGTTTTAATTAGAATGATGCAGTTACACAAACAAACTATTGCCTCTTTTGAACATATAATCTGAGGTACAGTAACTTTCATAAAACACTTGACTGTACAGAACACAGAACTATAGCGTTGCAGTTCGAAAACAGACTATGTTAAAATCTACAATGTCCCAACCTGTAATAAGCATTTGCAAAGTACTCTTGAGGTAGCTCAAGAGCGAGCCTGTTAATTGCACAAAAGATAGGATAGACAAATATGGTAAATTGTGCCAAATATTGGTTGTGACTGGGATGAGCATAACAACTAAAATTTTTAAATTGAATAGCATCATTGATATCAGTCTATGGAGTCAATCTACTTTTACACAACAGGGCAAAACTGACTGGATTTATTGTCTATGCCATCGTTAGGTATGAATAATCATTAAACTGCTTGCTGTGACACATCACATCATGTGAACTATTTTGATTTACAAACATGTAGGACTATGTATATAAAACCACAGATGACGCTGAATAAATTAAAAATGAATGAAAAGCAACATTATGAATCCAAGTTAAGTTACTATGATTTTATATGAAATAGTATGGTTTAAGGACATTAAAATGATCTATTTTTGACCTATGGCAATATTGAAGAATTATTTTTGTCAGCTATAAAGTAGCTACACTATGGCAGATTTCATGGCAACAACAAAGTCTTAGCTATAAAAATATACTTTGTAATAAATTGCAAACACAATTCACCCGGAATACATTACAACACAATATGAATATGTTAACAACACTGAACTTTAAAAATAATGTGTGCATAAAAACAATACAGAGTTAATGGTAAACTTGCTTGAATTGTTTGTAGGAAAAAGCAACTCCACAATTAAGTCAGTATTGAATGTGTCTTAAATTGATGTGGAATGATAAAATGGAAAAATATTGACTGATTTGTCTTTTGATCATCATCTACCAAGTATTTATACATCTATCTACACACTTACCACCCGATAATACAACATTAATGTTTAAATGAATTTGAGAAATCTATTAGTGTATTATGTACATGGTTCACAATACAGATACTCCTTGAGATATTGCATGATGTTATTAGCTTGAAACGTCAACGTCATTTATTTGGGATCGCACGTTTATGCAATCAATATGTTTCTAAAATCGGTGATTTTCTACCAATATTTTTCTCGATCAACAGATTTAAACATGGATTGGAAAATATTAAATGAAATGATGCTATATATAATAATCTTATAATATCCCAAGGTATATCTGTAAGGTAGATTTTTGGTATATCCAATCACTGAGAAATATAGAAGATATATATATGTGTATCCTACTCTATACTACATGTACCATGATAAAAGATACTATGGTAAGAGATTGTCCATTTAAATTGCAATTGTTTCTTAAGTAATTGCCATAACCTTTCCTGTAAATCCAATTGCAACTGTTTCTAAACTTATTGCAACAAGCAACAACTTCTTGATGTGTGTAAAATATGCACCCTAATCCAACAAAAAAAAACAAATTCCAATTCATTAAAGATATTAATTTTTTAAAGATCTTCAGATTTTTTGGCATTTTGGTTGACAAAATGAGATTCAATTCAATTCATGTTGGATTTATTTATAAAATTCAATATGATCTCGATACTTTTGATTGTGACATGTTCTTTACAGACCAAAAAGCAGTAAAGGAACAGTGAATTTCACAATATTATTGTCATGAGAAAGAGTATGTACTCATAGTTTCAACGACATTATGTTATATCTACTATTCTACTGTCAATATTTCAGGTGTATTTTAATATGTACTCTCGACATAATGTACTGTCAACTTTGTTACCTAAATTGCTTCAAATAGTACACATGATTTCAAACAAACTGGTGATTATCTTTGAATTAATGACTCCCTACTTCGAGATAACTGTTTCACTAAATAGACATTACACTTTCATGTACAGTACTCCTATGCCATCACACTTTAATGTACAATGCTCCTATGACATAACACTTCAATGTACAGTATTTTATGATACAGTATTTTATGATATCATACTCCAATGTACAGTACATTATTGCGTATCACACTTCCATATACACTACCTATATCATATCTCGCTTATATTTGAAGTATGTGGTACATCTATGATATCTCTTTTATATGTACAAAACATCAGGTACAAAATAAGCCATTATTACTTAAAACCAGCACCCCATTAAACACTTATGAGGTATATATTTCACAGTACGTCGGCAAGACTTACATGCATATTTGAAAATATTACACTTTAAAGAATTCACTAAGATTTAAGAACCATATGAAAGTTTAATTGCGTACTTATCAAGCCCCTTTGGCCTTCTAGATATTTTCTTCCCAAATATTTTGAGTTTTGTCAATTCTGAAACTGATTACAAAATAGTAGGATCTTTTATACTGTAAGATGACTCAAGGTTATAGATTCTCTCAACCGCTTTATTTTAAAGATTCGGAACATTCTTAGATGATAGATGAATCAAGACATGACAAAGTTTCCTTCAACTGTATTTGGCCATACTAGCATATTGCTACACACAACTACATGATTCAAGAGTTATGGGGTGAATATTGGGATTTTCTCTAAGCACTTTGTGTCCTCTTCTGAATCAGCTCTGGCTAAGAGGAGTGTATGACCATAGCCGCAGGCAACTTGTAGGATATATGTCGTGTTTATACTCTTAACCTCCTGGGCCTGGGTTGAGGATTTAGGCTTATTCTCCCCGTAGCACTACAAACAATAGAAACATCACATTTAATTGTGTTTTCAATTAAATCAGTTATCAATTAGATTCAAAATTTTTCAAGGTTTTAGTTTTTATAAAGCAAAAAATGTGTCAACTTCACTTTTACATTGCACTTTTACACCTGAGATACATTACAAATATTTCTACTAACTAGTTCGCCATATGTTGGACTTGGACCCCAGCTGATGAGACTCTCATCAGCAGCGACCACGATGCTCTTGTTGCTACAGCCAACACTTCGCACTTTCCAGCCGTTCAGGTCAGAGATGGCCTTAGGATACATTGCTGCCTCACCCGTGGCTTTTGTTTGGCCCCATAAATATGTATATTCTACAAATATAGATGCGAATACAGACATGGCATGAACATGCAAAATATCACCACCTGCCATTTGTAACGGATATTGACTGTCAACCACCGAACACTGTCCACACAAAAGTTGGAGACCATATAACTATACTATGTCGGCACTTCTCGTGATGACAAATAACATCACATCGATATAATCATAATATAAGAGAATATCTACAAGTAACTAAATCAAACAAAGTTGTGTGTTAATAGCCAAAACATAAATGATTTTACAACTGGCATGGACACGTTTTTGTCATGACCTTTTACTTCAGGAATGAACTTACCAACTTCAGTTTTAGCTATACTGAATGTGCTTCCACAGTTGATCATCACTACCTGTTTGCTTGGCGTGTCAAACCATTTAAGATGACGTGGAACATGTTCATCTTTAGGCTCACTGTGTCCCAAGCGACCATAGCCACCAAATCCCCAAGTGAATACCCGTTTCTTAGAGTCTAGCGCCAACTGGAACATTATTCAAGTTCAATAATGAATCGTAAAAATAAATATAGAATATTTTTAGGATACTCATATTATAAAATTGATAGAATTGTACCTATGAAATGTTCAAACTCATACATGTACATGTGTATTTAAATTCTACACAGTGAAAAGTTGCAAAGTCTATGATTTGGTGCTAAAATTTAGAAAAGGCATTTAAACTGCAGCGGGAAAATTTCCCCAAATCTCTCTTTAAAAAAACTACATAACTACTTACTGTATGATTTTGGCCACATGCTATATCAACTATTTCAACATCACTCATTCCTGAGACATGGCCGTCCCGTGATTTTTCGATGAACACATGTACTCGCCTTGGTCTCAGTTCACACTCATAAGACAACTTGTTACTGGTTACAAAGTATTTACCATCTGTGTTATGACCTAGAAAGACAATACCAAATATTAAAAACAAATATATTAATTTTGTTAAGATGATACATTCACTAAATTGATTTCTATATGGATTAATTTACAATACTTTCTTTGCATTTGTGTATTAGAAATCTTTTATTCAGCTTTGCTAAAAAACATTTCCTAGTACAGCACATCGAAGTATGCGCCAAAATTTGTATGGGGTACTTTATTAATCAAAATCAGTGAAATGCAAACTTTGTACTCGGGCGAAAAAAATCATCCGAGTTTCTACTTACCAAGTTGACCATACTCAGGACAGCCAAATGAGTAAAGATTGCCTCTTATGTCTGATATCATACAGAACTCACCACCACAAGCAATGCGTCTGATAGGAGGGCCTTTGTATTTGATCTGCAACAAATATTCTTCAAGTTCAAAGTATATGGAATGACTCTGTTATTCTTAAATTTATTAATTTTCTGTTTTGAATAATAAAAAACATCCTCATTGTTTTTCTATATAAATGCAGTTTTTAGTAAAATAATGATCTATACGAGGGGTGATCCAAAAGTCTTGGACGCCCTGCTCTAATTTTGTTTGTTTTTGATAAAATTACTTTAAACTTTCCAATAATAAAGACCAACAACCTAACTACTTTGTGTATTAATTTCATGGAGAAATGATATATTTTATGTAGTTTTCTAGATAGTTTTTAATATAGGGACCCTGCCACCCAGAACGGTATTCGCACATGGCAACTTTCAGCCTTAAATGTTGCCGCCATTTCACTTGTCTCGCAAGTCTTGACCACTATCTTTTTTTGAATTTTGAATCTTAAACCATGTTAGTTTACTTCCTTTGTTACTACTCAACCAATTAATTGTGTTTTAGTTATAATGTCACATATGACAATGGCCGTATATGTCAAATTCTAAGAAAATGACATCAGACAAGCAACCCTCATTCTGGTATCATTTTTGCTGCAAGATGGCTGCTGAAATGCAGAACATGAAAGAAATCAAAGTGGAACAAAGAATAGTACAAGATATTTTCACTATTATTGACCTTGAGCAGCTACCATATGCACGATACAGTCTAGATATGGCTCCGTGTGATTTTCTTCCTTTTCTCAAAAAAAAGGAGGGTTGAAAGAATTGTATAAGGTTTAGAGTGGCACTCCAGCAGCATTTGTATCACATAAGCAATGGCGGTTTCATAAATGACTTCCATTCATTGGTAAAGCGGTATGAGAGTTCAAATTCGCGGAAAATATGTTGAAAAGTAGGCCTTAATATGTGAAGATGATGATGGCAGATGGCACTCAGACTGAAAATCGGAAATTCTTTCATACCATGACTGGTGTTAGGTTGTGCACCTGCACCTAAAGTATTTGCCATATTATAACAGTTGTGACGTGAATCGCTATATTTAAATACCGTTCCGGGTGGCAAGGACCCATTATTAAAAAACGTTTAGAAAAGCAGCTGAAATATATCATTTTCTATTGAAACTTATACACAAAGTTGTTAAGACGTTGATCTTTACTCTCTGAAAGTTTCATGTAATTATATTAGAAAATAGCAAAGTTAGAGCGAGGCATCCAAGACTTTTGGATCACCCCTCGTACATGTACTATAAAATGAAGAATTTTTATCATTAATCATTAGAATTGTAATTTCATTTGGGTTTTATGAGATTAAATTACTAATTTATTAGAGATTGTCATTTGTCTCTAATTCCCAACAATATGTCTTTACAGACTATCAGGATGAAGAATGTTTGTAAAATAAGCAAATGTGAAACATATTCAGTGTCAAAAATACATTATAATGTGTATATACAGAGAACTTACACGTGCTGGTGTTGTGATCATGGATTGTGCCTGAGACCCTATTCCTATCTGACCCATCTTGTTATCTCCACATGCATACACCACCCCTCTATCTGGAACATAAAATGAAAACATACATGAAATGACAACATGCAATAAAAATATGTACCAACCTATGGAACATAAAATGAACAACATCCAATTAACTAATCATTCTTATATTACATGTATACTCTATACTACACAAGCACTGTTACACAATTAGTTAACGTCGATGTAACAAAATGGATGAGTTTTTTGTTTTCTCGATTTAAGCCTACTTATAAGTCAAGTTGCCATTTATAATTTGGCACAAAGCTAGAAAATATAGTCTAGTTTTAATAGGTTTCCTAGATGTGGAATTTGTTTTGTTGAGATTCATATATTTAGCCCCTCGCTTTTGTTACATTGATGAAAGTCTGTCATATTACCCGTGTATGTTACTTTGACAACATACGTCAATGTAACAAAAGCGATGGTTTAAATGCATAATTACAGCTTTATTCAAAAATTAAATTCCAAACTGAGAGCACTTCTTAAAGCTAGATTATATTGTAACTTTGTGTCAAATAATTATCTGCAACTTGACATATAAGAAGGTTTAAATCGAGAAAACAAAAAACTCATATCAAGGAAGTTCATCCATTTTGTTACATTGACGTTTCGTCAAAGTAACTAGTTGTGGAACAGTGACAAAAGAGAGCCCACTTTTTTCATGTATCAAATACGTCAATTGCTTGTGGATTACAATTGCTTGTGGATTACAATGTCAGTTTCAGCTTACAAGATTTTACAGTTTTCACTGGGTAACTTTTAATTAATTCAGCTCAAAATTTGCAGTTTAACTTACAATTATTTTATGATTTTATTCTATCGATCATTTCACCTCTCAAAATAAAGAACCTTGGAACAAAGTGTTGAGATATTTTTGATGGAACCAGAACATTTTTCAAAGGTAAGCCCCTAAATCCAACAATGGTAAGTCCCTGTAAGTTCATGCTTTATTTAATCAATCTACATTCAGTGGTTTTATCATCTTCCATTATACTCAACAAATCTTTCTATTTCACGAGATACATGATTCTCACAGCTGAGAAGAAATAGGATGTCAGTGTTAATCGTGATGATCCTTTTCATATAAATACTGGCAATTTGACATTCCATTTTCACATATGAATTTATTACAAAAATGGACAAATTCCCTGCATTTTTATATTTATTTATGTGTCACCTTGTATATCACAAATACCAAGCCCTATCTAGACTTGTGTGACACAATTAGACATTCATTCAAACAATTATAACATGTGAATGCTATAAAGTACAGCTTGTACATGTACTTCATTTCCTGAATTTTCAGTATAAAATTCAATTTCTATTTCCACAACAGCATGTTTGAATATTGATATGTGTACATGTTTTCAAAATCTAAAAAAAACACTCTGGATACTGTTCATTGTACTTTGGTATTTTCCAAAGCTGTCAATACATTTTATCACACTGACTCAGACATATTACCACAGCATGACTTCTAATCAATAAAACAGTAATACACTTGAGTATGACATTCCTAGTGGCAGATCATTAAGAGGATCTTCAGCAGGATGAAATAATCTATTACGCCTTGCATATGAAGCCTTATTAGCCATCTTGACTGTCTTGTATTGCTATATTAACTGATGTTACAGGATCAAGCCAATTTGTTCATATATATTTTACCTGATCTATTGTGGCATGTTGTTAATGGTACTTTAAATCAATTTATTCATTGAAATAATTAGAGACAGTTTTTCCAAAAATAATATCTAGCCTGGTGAACCTTTCAATATTATACATAACCTAGTATGTAGTATACTGCACAAATCACTCAGCCATTGACCAGTCACTTCCTATATTTTTAAAATTTAATTCTATTTCACTGACATGTGCAAAATTTCATTGACAAAATATACATTTCTCATATTTTTCACAAGAGCACACAAAATTTATTTGGAGTAATATTTAATTATTCTACTTAAAAGTGAATTCTCAGGAGGGCATGACCAGTGCTCAAAAAGCCAGAGCTTCTATCTAGCCCATGTGTAAACCGAAACAGAAAGTCTTGTCATTCTGCTCATATATCTAATATTGTACAAGGTCAGAAATAGTATATGTTACATGCTTGTTTATTTTTATTATAAATATTGATAATCATTGAGGTTGTCATGACAGCTCATACACCAATAACTGTACAACATTAGTCAAAACATTGGAAGTGAGGGGAAGGTTCATTATCTATTTGCTTGAAGATTACTTATATTTGCCTATTCACGGGGTACCATCGAATAATTTTGGCAACGTACCGGAGAACGACATTTTACTAAGAAATGGCAATAATTTAGCACAATATATTTTTTAACTAGAGTTCTATTTTGATTTTGACAAAAGTAAGTATTCCATGCAATAACTATTTCATTCATGAGTTTGTAGGAATTCTGTTGGAACCCAGTTCTGATCAAGTACGAAGTTATTGAAATCGGCGCAGACGGACTTTACTCCGAAAGATGGTTTTTCGATTATAACTTTTCACAACATTTAAGTATAGACTTTTGAAAAAAGTACAGAATAGTCCTTATACTTTTGAATAATTCTGTTATTTCTGATTCACACGACTCTGATTTGTTTAATTAAAAAAAAAGTTTTAAAAATATTACTTAGGAACGTAACCGGAGCTGGGAACGTAACCGGAGCAGATCAGTTGAATTATTTAATCAAAAAATTAAAATATATGATTTAAAGCACATATACTAATTTAAAAACATACGGGATTGTTCGAATGCGTATTTATTAATATATATGCTTTAAATCATATATTTTATTTTTTAAATGATATAATTCAACTTATCTGCTCCGGTTACGTTCCCAGCTCCGGTTACGTTCCTAAGTAATATTTTTAAAACTTTTTTTAAATTAAACAAATCAGAGTCGTGTGAATCAAAAATAACAGAATTATTCAATAGTATAAGGACTATTCTGTACTTTTTTCAAAAGTCTATACTTAAATGTTGTAAAAAGTTATAAGCGAAAAACCATCTTTCGGAGTAAAGTCCGACTGCGCCGATTTCAATAACTTCGTACTTGATCAGAACTGGGTTCCAACAGAATTCCTACAAACTCATGAATGAAATAGCCATTGCATGGAATACTTACTTTTGTCAAAATCAAAGTAGAACTCTAGTTAAAAAATATATTGTGCTAAATTATTGCCATTTCTTAGTAAAATGTCGTTCTCCGGTATGTTGCCAAAATTATTCGATGGTACCCCGTGCTATTGGGGTTTAACTATTTGAAACAGAATTTATTTTTATTTGGACTACTCATTTCTCAATGCAATTCCATGGGTTCGATATAAGAGCAAAAAAGCAAAGATCAAAACCAGATAATAACGTATTTAGCCAGATATAACAAGTTTTGCGAATCATCGTAATCTAGAAAGTGGCAACTCCACTGAGTAGCCACATTTATATTCATGAATGTTTATTTAACAAAATGTAGTGCATGTATGTATCATCTACTCTACCCTTGATATGCAGATAATCAAAGACAGACATTGGGGGATATATCAGAATTTCCATCAATTTAAGCATCTGAGTGACAATTTAGGATTTCAAGGGCTCAAATCATAAAGACAATATTTGAGATCTAATGTAATGTAATGTCATTGTGAATTCTTGAGGCACGAATCAGAAAAACAATATCATAATTGTGATCTACTCTGAAAATCTTTCGGTTGTAATATAACCATTCTTTGAAGATCTCAGGAATCTATTGCGAAATCCCACATTAGATAGCCATTTTGAATTTTCCATGGCTACAATCAGAAAAATTATAAAATATTTGCAATACTCTTAATAACCTTTATTTTGAGTATAATAAAACTGTACTTCAGAAAGATCTCAAAATTGACAAAATTCCTGTTTCCAGACTCCCAAAGTAATGTTTATTACTTTGGCTGAAATTCCTGCCATGTGGTGGCCATCTTGTCTTGTCTAATATATATCTTTCCACCAAATATGAAGAAAATCCATGAACTCGTATTCAAGTTATCTTCTTGACAGATGGAGGGCTTCACTATATCCTTAATTCCTAAACCATTCTTTCTTTGTAAAACAACACGCAGAAAGATAATAATAGACTTACCATTTAAAATTAGAGTGTGATTTTTACCAACAGCTGCGCTGATTATGTTTTCGTCCTTGAGAGACTCGATTATTGTGGGAATGTCTCGACGCTTTGTATCACCATGGCCTAGCTGGCCTTTGTCGTTACGACCTAAAATTACATTCACTTGAAGTTCAACTCTGAATTGCGAGAACTTTGCTATATGCACTGACAAGTAAATATTGAATATTATCAACACATCACAGCCAAGTTAGCAATTTCACCATTGGTCAAACCGGAGACATGAAAAATCAGAAGTATCCCAAGGTTATGCAAAAAATTTAAACATGTCATCCTGATAAGGCGTAGGTAAGTTTATGGCATATCATTTACGATGCATTCAACATTATAGGAGTGAAATACATGTATCGTAGACTGTATATCATCATACTAAAAGTATTAGTGTACTGATTGATTTCTAAGGTTCTACCTACCCCAGCTATAAACTTTGCCCTCGGCTGTAATTATCAGATTGTGACATGCTAAGCATCCAGTAATTATGGAGCGCACCTTCACACCAGTTAAACTAGCAATCCTATGAGGTGCCCATAAGTTAGGACCGCCACCATTCTTGGCTGAAATTATACAAAAATTACCTTAATTTTTCTCATTTAAATGCTGACCACGTATGATCTGATTTATTATCAATGGTCGCTTAGTTAATTAATGCCTAATTCACATTTGATCAACAGCAACCATAAGGCGGTTGTAGCCTCCCAATATTGAGAGAATTATGCAGCATACAATATAGGGATAAGCAGTATGATGTTGATTTTCTATATCGATTTTGTGAAGCTATGGCCACCGTAAGGCCACAGAGCAAATGTGACTGGGGCTTAAAAATGGTCACAAATACATTTGAATTAATTTTCATTATTGTTATGCTTGAATAATGTCGAGAAAACAGATCATGGCTTACCATCTTTGGGCAACTTGCTTCTTCCAACCATATCCCAGTTGGAGGCTCCTGAGAATAATACCTCTCCAGTCACTTTAGATCCCTCAATTATCTGAAAGTTAAATAAATTTGAGGAATACAAAAAGGATTTCCTGTTTGATTTCGCGTGTATTCGATTTCAAAGACATTTATTTTTCTAATTACGTTAAAAGATCTTCGAGCAGTGCTCGATTTTTTTCGTTGTACGTCTACCCATACAATTGTTCGGTTGGAAAAATGTTGTTTTTTACACATTTCCTTTGATAATTTTCTCCCATGACGTCTTGGAGTGTCGAATATTTTAATGAGAATGTGTTTCTCTAAACTGCACAATTTAAGACGGGTTACGATTTAATAAATATTCATGAATTTGGTATAATTTAAAAAATCAGAAATGTACGTTGTCAACTCACAGTGTATGTTGTCCCTGTAATTGAAATTCATGAGTTATAATATTAAACATTGCAATGATTTAATTTCAAAAATGCATTAAGGGTTTTTTTATGCGTAACAAGTGATGTTCAACGAACATGCTCCTGTATCCCTAGTACAGATAAACAGGTAAACGTGATTTTTTCGTTGAATGCTATTTTATTTTATGAAAGTGTTAATATGGTGATTAATATGTGACCATGGCGTGATATCTTCCGACCTTTTTGGCCACTCGGCGTCGGTACGTTACGTTATGTTTAGTTGCACTTTTATGAATTTTAATAATCTCAAGGAGTTCATGGAGAGATCTATACTAGCAAGATGACTTTCAAAATTTATGCTATAGGGTGTCCCGTAAGTATGGGCCCCCTAGGCAGACATATACCAATGTCTCCATAGTATGTGTCATATATCATTTTAAAGCTCATCCAAAGTTTTATTAATTTGCCGAGTATCATGGTTCAACTCACAAATGGAAAAAGTTACAGGAATACAAAAGTTAGTGTTTGGCCAAAATTAAAGTCAGTTTTACACCAAAACAATAGTCGGTGTGTCTCCTTAGCCGCCATGTTAACAGCAGCAATACTTTCCATATATGACCTTAAACAGGCTTCAAATAGGGATATGGCATTTTGTAATCCTCATGGAACCTTTTAAGGCATAAGAAGAGTTTCCTTGGAGTATCTACCCTAAACGTCATCTTTTTAGAACTCAATAGCCATCCTATCTTCGAGAATGGCATCCATATTTTCTGTCACAGGGTCAGGGCTGTTTCCAGGATACTGATCTTTTTGACAAAACGCTAATTTTTGAAATGCCTGTAACTGTTACTTTTTACCATTTGAACCATCATATTTGGCAAATCAATGTAACTTTGGATAAGCCTTAAAAATGATATATGACACATACTATGGAGACATTGGTATATGTCTGCCTAGGGGGGGGGGCATACTTTGGGACACTGTATATCTGGAAAGTGCAGAAGTTCAAAAGCCAGGTATGGAACACAAAAAAAGAATTAGTAACATTGACATTTAATCATATCAATGATAATTAAATAATGGGGGATTTGTATATTTCAGATTTTTTAGTTTTTTGTGCAATAAGCCTGTGCCGTCTTGTAATTTGAAGAATATCAGCCATGTTAATCTTATTGAAAATAACATGGCAGAGAAACATCCAAATATAAGAGGCCACACACTTTATAAGCCAAACTAGAAGCAATCCAAGATATACAAATGTCATTCATGTACATTATGAATATACTTTTCCATATATTATTGCACAATGGTCTCCCAATTTCTTATTTTTGCCGTTCTACTGACGAAATGAAGCAGTGAAATGGACTTTAATTGCTCAATAAGATATCTATTATCTGTATTATGTGTAAAACTTCAATGAATATGAGATATGAGGTGAGATATAAAGATTACGGAGCGGGACAGTAATTTTTCGGCTTCTCTTTGGTACGCTGAGAGGGGGGGGGGGGGGGGTAGACTGTATCCTTCGTCTGAATAAATTCAGACTGTAAGTCACCTATTGTAAAATGTGGTGTTATATAAATGTTACAAATAAGTTTGTTTAATGATAAAATGATTACCTTATAAAGAACTTACAATATTATTTTTTCGTATATTGTCCTCTTACTGAAGATATTCATAAAATGTACAGACGCTTCTTGTAGCGAAGCCATTGATTTGGTCAAGCCATTTTGGCAATGCCAATTCTCACGATGAACGAGATTTAGCCAGTGACGTCAGTCTATTTGTAAACAAATAACACGTGGAGCGGACGGAGCAACATTACGGAAGCGTATTGATTAATTCCATTTGTGCGGGAATTTATTAGATCTAGTCATTTGTTATCATTATCCCGATTAATTTTCGTCATTTATAGTAAATAGAGCGGAAATATTCATGAAGAAGGCCGAGGTAATCAAGTGGTGTGTTGTCAAAGTTCAAAAATTTGCATATCTCGTTTGGATCTCGTGAACTCAAACGTCCTTGACATTGATTTCGCGATCTACTTATGAACACATCCTGAAGTTTTGGTGAGTCTGAACATTTCATTATTTTATATCAACTTGTACCCGCCTTATACAAATATTTTTGCTTCTAGTTTAAGATGAACATCTCTTCAACATATTCACCAATTTTCAAGGTGAACATTCTTGTAATAAACGAGAAATTTATGTGCAAAAAATATCACCGCGATTTCCACAGGAAATATATCAATCATAACAGACCGAATATTATATTCGGTCTGTTGGATACATACTAGGGGGGGGGCTTTTCATTTCGGTTGATTCAACTGTCGCAAGGGTCATATTCTTGTATCTTCTCATATTTATACTTGAAGAGTTCTGGCTGAGAATCAATGTTTTGAAAAGCCATCAACAACAATAAAGGAAGAAAAGACAAACAAAAGGCCCAACAACTATACTGGAAAAAAGTACATTATATTTGGTACCAAATTGATCAGGAAATCATAAAATGAAATCATCTAAACATGATAACACATGAAACTCACAACTTGTGCATCTCCTTGACCGTCTTCTTCTTCATATTCCCCGCCAGAATTGTTGCCATTGTTCTCTTCTTCGGAATCGTCTTCTGCATCACCGTTTGTCGCTTTCTTTTTTCTTCTGCGCTTCTGTTGAGTTCCAGACCCTGGATCACCGCCAGTTCTTTTCTTTGGTGGCATATTTGACTTGATTTGAACGGTGAATGTGGTGTTTTAGTGTATATTTTGACAAAGAAACCGTAAAAGATTTTACGGCATGAGAAAGTCTCGTTAGATTCTCGCGAGATGTGCATCATGAAACGAAAGGAAATGACTAATTGTTTATTCCTCCTTTACATGTTTGAACAGCTTTGTGTACAAATATGTATAATGTAAAAGCAACTGGTACTCCAAAATAATTTTTGAATTTTTTTCAACCCTTGACATAGGTCTCAAGTTTCACTCAATTTTTTTCTGGCACTCTTGAGCTGGGGGGGGGTCCCCGGGGGGGGGGGGGGGGGGGTGCTATTATATATAACCATCTCTGGCCTCACTGTAACTTACTAGTCTCAATTTGTTCAGTAAAGTTGACTTACCTTAGAAGAGTAAGATTGATTGATTTATTGTATTTCAGTACTAGACTATAGTGTCAGGCCTGTGACTGACCAGGGCCGGGCATGGCCCGGCGGAGGTGAATATAACAAGTCAGTGAGGCGAGCAAACCCTCCCACTCCGACAAAAATTCTTTCAAAATCAGTTTTCCATTATTCTGACTACTTTTCAAGTAATGATTTAAGTTTGGACCAAAATGGTTAAATGTGAACCCTTGTATATGTTTTTACGAAACGTGAATTTCCCCTTCGAACTCCTATGCAGTGTCTCGGTATAGATATATCACTGCACGGGAGTTCGTTTCCCCTTGGCAAAAGGGAGTCCGCGCATTATAGTCTTCCGAAACCCATTATACCGACGCGCATTGTAGGCTACCGAACTTGAGGTTATACCGAATTTTTCTTAGTTACTTTGACGGAATGGTTACGAATTTTTGGCTTCTCGATTTAAACCTAATAAGTCAAGTTGCAGATTATAATTTGGCCCAAAGCTAGAAAATAGCCTAGTTTTAATAAGTTTCTTGATTTGGAATTTGTTTTGTAAATCGTGAAGCTGTAATTCATATACTGAGCCTCTCGCTTTTGTTGCATTGACGAAACCCCGTTATATTACCAATGTAACTTATGTTACTTTGACGGACTTACGTCAATGTAACAAAAGCGATCTAAATGCACAAATTACAGCTTTATTGTAAAATCAAATTCCAAACCGAGAGCATTTCTAATTTAAACGAATTTAACGATGTTATATTGTCATGATTCAAGTACTAGGGGAACATTGGGCAAAACGGCCGTCTGGGGCAAAGTGGCCTATCGAAATATCTTTTGAACCTATAAAAAGATGGTTCTTCAAAAGTCACATAATCGAATTTTGAAATTTCTGCCACCTTCTCGACCGCCCATTATAACCAAGCAGCGTCTCGCTTTAGAGGTAATTCTACTTTTCACCCTCTTTTTGTAAATAACCCCTCCCACGAGAATCTCTAAAAAAATCCGGCAACAAAATGATAGAATATCGTTTTGATTCTGATTTAACATTTTACATAGAGTATGCACATTTATTTTTTATTTGTAAAAATTTCAAGCTTCAACTATTAGGCAAATTAAGAGGTCTATTTGAAAATTCACATGTCTTTGGGGCAAAATGGCCCACACATGTTATAACATACAAAAATCTTATTGTGCAAGAGCAATTGGTTTTCAAATATAACGATTTTAACATTTGGCTTGTACCTTAATTCCTTCCGACACATATCGAATGACTAGAATTATGGTAGGGGTTAAGAATACTTTATCTGTCAAAGGTTTGAACGTCTGAGATATTATGTGTGTGGACGAGTCTTGTAATTGATTAATTTTGGTTTTAAAACCCATGTAACAGAGGGTGGGCCGTTTTGCCCCACCCATGGGCCGTTTTGCCCCACTCTCGACAATATTTTTGACCATTGAAAAATCACAGAAGATAGTCCTAGGAAAGTATAAAACACTCGAAAAATGTAAACCACAAACCATTGATAAAGTGGAACATCAAAGTGCGCGATAGTAGTTACAGAAACGAGAGTTCTGACACACCTATAACATGGAGTCCTATGGGGAGGGACACGATTTTTCATAGTACCCTCCCTAACATGGGCTCCAATGGGGAGGGACATCTGTGAGCCTCCCTGAGCTCGGGAGGCACATACGGGGACCCCACCCCTCCCCCCTCGGCGTGGTGGCGTGTACATACCAGGTCGTTCAATAAGTTCTCATAATTTTGCTCTCATTTTAAGAGTTTTTTATATTTTTCCATGAAAATTTCACAGACGATGCAGAATGTATCTGTGTAACAACTCTGCAAAGATTATGTATTAATTCTAATGGTTGTGGAAATGGCGGTTGCTATAGTAACGTCAAAAATCGGTAGGCGGGGCAACTTTATTTGATCGTAAAATCCATGGATGTAGTTAGATTTCATCTTGAAATGTCATATGTTTTATCTGAAAGATTTGCAACCATAGAAACAGGTTTTGACATCAGTGTGAAAGATGCAACTTTTCTGAGTATAGTTATTACTGTGACATCACATAAAAAGGTATGACATCACAGAAAAGGTTTCAATAGAGAGACCCAAGATGGCAGCTGACTGTGGTCTTGTGAAAAGTCAAGATGAAATTCAAATTCAAATCCGTAGTGTGATAAGATTTTGTGTGTTATCCAAGAAATCAAGAGGAGAAACAATAAAAGCAGTTCAAGATATTTATGGAAAGGAGTTAATGAGCACACCTACCATATACCAATGGTATCAAAGGTTTGGTTCAGAGGGAAGAAAATCTGTGATGGATGAAAAACGGACTGGCAGACCGGTAAAAGTCACCAGCCCAAAGGCTGTTGAAAGAGTTAAGACAGTTCTAGATGATGATCGCCGCATCTCTGTACGGGAACTTAGTGAGAATGTGAACATTAGTATAGGTAGAACACACTTCATTCTGAAAGAGAAGCTTAAAATGAACCTCATGTGTGCTAAATGGGTGCCAAAGGAGTTAACTAGTGACCAGAGAGCCCGCAGAGTTGAGGTTTCCCAAGAATTTCTAAGACGATACCAAGATGAAGGGGATAGTTTTCTTCAACGAATTATCACATGCGACGAGGTGTACGTCAGCTATTATGAGCCCCTTGGGAAGAGAGCATCAAGTGGTTGGAGAACTAAGAACTCACCTACTCCCATTTCAACCCTGGCAAAACTGACCAAAAATGACGGCAAGGTGATGTTCATTGTGTTTTTGGATAGCTCTGGGGTGCTGCTTACGCATGCAATTCCTGATGGTCAGAGAATAAACAAGGACTATTATGCAATGGTAAGCTTATTCATTATTAATAAATTAATCAATATAAGAGTAAAAACATTAAATCAAATCAAATTTAAAATCAGATTTGAACTATAAAAATGGTTAAGTACAAATGTTAAAGGCATTAGTATCCTATCCTACTGACTATTTCAGGTTCTCAAGAGGCATCTCAAACGGGCCTTCTCAAAGAAACGCCCCCTCCTAGAGTTGGCGACAAGAATATTTCATCAGGATAATGCCCCGTGTCACCGGGCAGAACTTGTACTGAACACCATAGGAGAACTCGGAATGGAAGTTCTCCCACAGGCACCATATTCACCTGATGAAGCCCCATGCGACTTTGGCGTGTTTGGCCGAATGAAAGATGAGCTGAGAGGTTTTCGATTTGCATCGACAGAAGATTTGCAGAATGCAGTCCAAAATGCTCTCAGAGCTAGATTTCCTGATGGATTCCATAAAATCTTCCAGGATTGGGTAGAACGTCATCGAAAGTGTGTCGCATCCAATGGACATTATTTTGAGCATTTAAAGTAGGAATAGAAACATTTACCCCATACTATTTCATGGGATAAATGGGACTACATGACATTAAAACACTTGTTACTCTCCACAATGTTGAACTGAATTATATGCCACTATGACGTCAAATAATCTGCCCCGCCTACCCATTTTTCATGTTACTATAACAACCGCCATTTTCACGACCATTAGAATTAAAACTTAATTTTTGCAGGGTTGTTACACAGATACATTCTGCATCGTCTGTGAAATTTTCATGGAAAAATATAAAAAACTCTTAAAATGAGAGCAAAATTATGAGAACTTATTGAACGACCTGGTATTTCGGGGATCTCGGCCCCTAGGGGTAACGGACGCCCTACCCCACGACTATACGTTCCGGAAGTTAGCCATTTTGACAGAAAGTCAGCCACTTGACCGGAAGTCAGCCCGGAAGTCAGCCATTTAACCGGAAGTCGGCCATTTTGAAGCTTTCTAGCAGGAAGTCAGCCATTTTGCATCTGTCTGGGCAAGAGGGTGACATCATAGCGGAAGTGAGGCATCTTTTAGTCGGCCTGGGTAGGTTTTAAAGCGGAAGTTAGCCATCTTTTCCCTACCTCCTCCCACTTCCTCCTTACCTCCTCCTTACCTCCCCCCGCCTCCTCCCTACCTCATCATTACCTCCTCCCTATATCCTCCTTACCTCTTCCTTACCTTCTCCCACCTCCTCTCTACCTCCTCCCGCTTCCTCCTTACCTCCTCCCACCTCCTCCTACCTCCTCCCTACCTCATCATTACCTCCTCCTTACCTCCTCGAACCTCTTCCTTACCTCCTCCCACCTCCTCCCTACCTCCTCCTTACCTCATACCTCCTCCTACTTCCACCCAACCTCCTCCTGTCTCTTCTCCATCTTCCAAACCTCGTCCCCTCCCTTTACTTTAATATTCAATAGTTTATAATGTCATAAATGCCTGTTTATGTTTAGAATTGATCTTAATTGACACATTTTGAACCAATCAAAATACTGCACATTAGAATATTCTTATATATTTTAAGTTGTCCATGTTTTGAGTCATTTTACTGATAGATCTTGAACAGACAACATGTCTTTCAATTGTTCTGAGTGTAGTGTGAATTTTACGAGAGGTGATAACCTATCAAGGCATATGAATAAGTTTCATGGAGAAAAAATGCATCAGTCTGATGTTATGCTGAAACATCCGTTTACTATGATAGCAGGTATAGGCATGGACATGTTGAAATTAAAAGTCTGATAGGTTTCTAAATATAGAAAGAGAGCATGTCAATTTATTAAAAAATATTTTTTGTTTTGTTTTGTATTTTCAGCCGGACCAACATCGTCG